TTTATTATTTGACTATTATCTCTCCATTTCTACCCTTTCCTATCATTCTACTCTGTTTCTATGACTAGATCCCACATATAAGTGAGATATTACAGTTTTTGTCTTTTGGTGTCTGGCTTATTTTACTTAGCCAACTATCCTCCAGATCCATGTTGTGACAAATGAAGGATTTCCTTCCTTTTTAAAGGTTGAACAATATTGTGTTTCCTTGTGATTTGTTGAATTTTTTATGCATTGATTCCTTTCTCTTTATCTTTCTATATCTACTGCAGATTTTTCTTTGTGACTACCCTGGGACTTACACAAAACATCCTCTAGTTCTAATAGTCCAAGCAGATTAACAACTTACCTTCAATCATACACAAGACTCTCCACTTTTACTTCTCCCAGCCCCTCACCATTTTAAGTTATTGGTGTCACAATATATATATCTTTATGTCATGAATCCACCAACAAATTTCTATAGCTGTAGTTAACTTTAATACTTTATTGCTTTTAACATTTATACTAGAGCCTTCATAATACTGAATGTAATGTAAATGCCATGTATATAATAGTTATATGGTATTGGTATTGCATGGGGAATAATGACAAGAAAAAAGTCTATATGTCTTCAGTAAAGATGACATTTTTGTCTGAATGTTTTCAATCTACAATTGGTTGAATCTATGGGTGTGGAACCATGGATACAGAAGGCCAACTGGACTTTCCTTGAACAGTGACTTTTTTAACTTTCAGGTGTTTTCATGTTGCTAATTCACATTCTTTCATTGAACTTGAAGAACTCTAGTATTTCTTATGAGACAGACCTAGTTGCGATGAACTCTATTGGCTTTTGTTTAGGAAAGTCTTTACCTCACCTTCATTTATGAATGGCAACTTTGTCAATAAATTATTATTGTTCTTTAAGCACTTTGACCAAATCATTCCACTGTCCTGGCCTACAGAGCTTCTGCTGAGAAATCCTCTGAGGGTTTTCTCTTGTATGTGATGGGTTGCTTTTCTCTTCCCACATTCAAAGTTCTCTTTTTGTCATTGACTTTTGAAAATTTGACTATTATGTGTCTTGGTGAAGACTTCCTTATGTTCAGTTTGTTTAGATTTCCTTGATCTACACATTCATTTCCCTCCTCAGATTCGGAAAGGTTTTTTGTCATTTTTTTCTTTTCAGCTTAATTTCTTTTTATTAGCATATATTAATTATGCAAAATAATGTGTTTTATTATGACTTGTCATGCATAAATATAAGGTATTTTATCATATTACTATTTCTTAAATAAACTTTTTGTCCTTTACTCCTTCTCTGCTCTTTTTCTCAAATGATATTTCTTCAAGCTTACTGATTCTTTTTTCTCTTAATGGAGTCTGCTATTGAAGCGCTCTTGAATATTTTTACCTCATTCATTTTATTCTTCAGTTCCAGAATTTCTGTTAGGTTCTTTTTTATGGCTTCTGTTTGTTGAACTTTTCATTTTACTTTCCTGATTTTTGTTTAGTTTTCTGTCTGTGTTCTCTTGTCACTCATTGTACTTTTCAAGATTTCTTTTTTTTTGCGTGCCTTGTCATGTAGTGCATAGATCTCTGTTTCTTTAGGGCCAGCCACTGTGGCTTTATTTTCTTGCTAGGGTGACATCTTGTTTCCTTGATTTTTTTTTTTTTCTGTGTCCCAGAAGCCTTGCATTTGAGTAACCAGTGACTTCCTTCAGTCTTTATTTCCTGGCTTCAGAAGAGAAAGACCATCATCACTCAGTTCAGCTTAGGATTTTGAAGCTCTTGCAGACTATTTCTCTTGATATGCCTACTCTACTCTTTTTGTTTTCTCTTTAGGGATAGTCTTAGGATTTTCATTGACCTTCTGAAATCTGAAATAAAAGCTCATTTATTTTCCTTATGTCAGTGCCTTGACCTGTTCAAGGTGATTTGACATCTGTGTGCTGTCTGGAGGTCACATGGACTCTCTGCAGAGGCCTGCATTGCATTGTCTATGGAGGGAGCATAGACCATGGCCCTGGCCATGGAAGGGGCATACGTGGAGTGTTGGGTGTGCTTTCTGATGAGTTGGGGAGACTATAATTGGAGCATCTTATCAGGTTCATGGACAGGGCTCTTGGTGGAGTTCATGAGCTGGTCAGTAGGATTTTCACCTGTTTGTTGAGCTCTGAAAGGTTGTTACTATGAACTCCTCTCTGTTTCCCCTGTTCCTACTAAGTTGCCAGAATATCTAGTCAAGCCAATCTCCTTGATATTATGTATGGGGAGAGACATGGTAGGTATCTTGGGAACTGTCCCACAAGGCTGAAGAATCTGGGTGCTCGCCTTGCTCTCATTTCCCCTGTGGAAGAAATCACAGGCTCAAAGACCTCTAGCTGCATTCTCTTGTATGAGGGTGATATGGGTAAAATGAAACTTTTCTTCTTACCCTCTCCAGCACATCTACTTTTGGACTTTTTTTTTCTTCACTAAGGTGCTAGAACCTTTCAGTTGAACTCTTGGCCTCCCCTGAAGGCACTGTCATCTGTGGTGGTTGATAAAATCAGGCTTTCTGTGGAGGCCAAGGGGTTGGAACCTCCTATTCTGCCATCTTGTTGACATCCATGAATTATACTTCTTGTCCTTAGTAGTTATCAATTTTTTCTTTAAGTACTGAATTCAGTCCTTAAGAATATATATGGTGCTGTATATATATATTCTAATATTCAAAAAGACCCACCTGTGGACTTTCAGGAAAGTCACTCTAGAACAATGTAATCTCTACCCCTGGTCATATTTCTTATACTTTGGCCTGACTGCACATCTCCTGGGCGCAGATTTTGATTCAGAAGATCTGGGATATAGCCTAAAATTCTGTATATTTTAGTTCGCTTCCAAATACTGCTGTTCTCTAGGCACTAAGTTGCAAGTTGTATTGCCTCCTAAATAGTTACAGTCACACAGGAGTTACAGAGAACTGTACTGCTAAAAGTATAGGTAAGATAAAGATGCTGTGGAGAGCCATCTGAGGATGTACACTGAGGCCATAGTGCTTAACTTGTTTGGAATATAAAAAGCTATGTTGCCTTTTAGTCCAGTAAATGTGGTTATTAGTATGTAATTGATCTCTACAATGAAAATCAAAGTTGATGAGGCTGCTGCTATTAGATTTTTAGCAGTTAAGAAACCTGGGCCCAAGTGTTTCACGATATATCGAACTTGGTTGGAGTTAGAGCCTTTTCTGCCAAAATTCTGTATATACAGAATTTCTGGCATACTCTGATGTTTTAGTAAATAATATGCTATATCCATTGTGAAAGGAGAAAATTCTCTAGGATTTTGCCCTTGCACAGCAATCAGGACAGAAGGTGACTTTGCCACTTTTGTCCTGGGTACGTTTGACTCAGTTTCCTGGTATGTGTGATTAAACTAACCATGACTGCCTTCTGAGAGGTGAAATACTCAAGTGCCAGTGACTGCAAATGAATAGTTGTCTTCTCTTCTGAAAATTCTCCTTGTGAGAGTGCTGTTTGCTCTGTTGTGTATTGGAGTATTTGAAAGTAATAACAGTAATTTAGAGAACCATCCCTTCCGAAGTGCCCTATTTTAAAATACCAGATTCAATAGTTTTTGAAGTATGAAAACTGAACACTGGCAGCCTTGCTAATCTCATTCTCTAGAAAATATCAATTATGAGGCTTAGGAAGAGGGTAGACACCTTGTAAATCAGGAATGGCAGCATTTAATGACATTAGCTTTAGCAATTAAAATGGTTGCTTTCTCGGGAGAGAAAAAGCTACTTCTAACTTTGTTGCTTCACTTTCCATCAGCCACCCGGCCCATCAGTTCTGCTTCTGTGGTGTTCTAGAATCTGCTTCTGACGATTCATTCCCACTTGAATAGACCTTCATCTTCTGTCCCCTGAGCCACTGCAATAACTTGTTATATGTTTCCACAGCTCCAGGTTCATCCCAATGCTAAGTCGCCTCCACCTCGCCCTTGGAGTCTGTCTTTTTAAAGCAGACTGATCAGCCCGCCAGTCTGACCATCCCAGTTCCTTCATTCCTGTGTTCTTTCCAGCTGTAAGATAAATTGAGACTTTTTCCTAGCTTTCTTTAAGATGGTGTCACTTTTTATTCACTTTTCCTGTATTCTACTGGCACCAAACAAATATTCTATTAATATAGACACACAGTGTCTTTCTCCCATCTTTGCCTTTGCTTAAGTTAATCCCTCTGCCTAGAATTTGTTTCACCACTTCTCTCCACAGAAAGCCCATTTTTGTTATTCAAAAATCAAATATTTCTTTAGAAAAATCTTCCCAAGACCTCCTTCCATTATTTTCCCACAGCTCCTTGTTCAGGCTTCTTAGGAGCATGACTTGTAAAGCATCCTAATTATGTGAGTGCCTCTCTCACTAGAAAAAAAGGTCACAAGTTGAAGCCCTGCCTCAGACGTCCTTGTATATTTCAGTTCTCCTGAGAAGGAGAAGCAGATAATAGGTGCTTAAAGAATAATTTTTAAATATGGTGGACAATGGACAGAGGAAGTAGATAGACAAATAAAAGAAAGAAATGGAGAGGCGTAGTCTTCCTCACTGACATGTTGCTTGTTGATGACAAGAAAAAAAGATGTGCACATGCAAATATATATATATATATATATATATATATATACACATATATATACATATATATATATATATATATATACACACACACAAAATATATACACGTGCTCACAGTGTGACTCTAGGCAATGAATCTTTCTTATTAGATGATCTTTAGCAACAGTAGGACCTGATAACTTACACACACACACACACACACACACACACTTTTCTTTTTTGTAACAAGAGTTTAGGGAATGCCAGGCTGGCCTCATACTCATCATCATCCTGCCTCAGCCTCACAAGTGCTGGGATTACAGGTGTGCATCGCCAACCATGCCCAACTTGATAATTTATGTTTTTAAGGATCTGTGTTTTCTTTTTCTGCTTGTACCCAGTTCTGTACTTTTCCTTATTCTAGAATGATGGAGCTCTTCGGCTCGTGGCTAACTCAGTGGTGTGGGTTCCTGAAGGAGGGATGCTGCAGATTACCAATAGAATCTTACAGGCAGAAGCTCCAGGTGCCAGAGCTGAAGATATCATCTACAAGATTACACAGGACCACCCCCAATTTGGTAATGTTTTTTCTTTGGTATGACTTTATCTTTGCATTCAGTGGTCTAAGACTTGCTTTTGTGCAATGCCATGGGCGAATTTGCAATTCAAGTAAACTTAACTTTCTAATACTTCTCCCTCTTTCTCTCTTTCTCTCTCTCTCAGTCTCTCTCTCAAAGTGCTCTACTACCCCCCACCAGATCTTTTGTTTTTATTTTGTTTTAGAGACAGGGTCTCACTAACTGCCTAGTCTGGCCTCAAACTCACAGTCCTCCTGCCTCTGCTTCCCGAATATCTGGGATTCACCCAGCCTTACATCTCTCTTTAAAAACAAGAATAATCATAATAGTTATCATACTGTATACCTTTGTAGGTATTATTCTAAATTTTATAAACATGTATAATGTATATATTTATATATAACACCTAACACTTAATTTAAGTTTTTAAATAATTTTGCATGTGAGGGAAGTGGGATAAACCAAAGACCAGGCTCTCAAACTTTTCCTCTATCCTTCTTAGACCATCTCCAGATTTCTTGATAAGGCTTTAAAAAAAATTACACAGAAGCATTTTTTAATGCTCTCCATTGTTACTTCTTCCAAGAAGATATTAAATACAACAACTTGAGAAATTTCCCATTGTCATCACCTAGAAATGCTGGATAAAATACAGCAGCAATTACAAGGTGTTCATAGCTGACCTCCTAAGAGTAGACGGAAATCTCTAGGTGCCAGCAACAAAGGCCACCTGTGCATGAGCTAACGGCACAGCTTTCCCGAGAAGGGTGGTGGGGGCTAGGATTTCAGACCTGTGCACAGGCAGGGAGTTGGAAGTAAGTTCTACCTAAAACTAGGACTCAGGAAGGACATTCCTTCACCAGAGTGACAGAATAGGAAGTAAGAACCTCACCAGCACAAATGGCAAGGAAACCTGCCTGTCTTTCTTAGGCTTGAGAGTAGAACAAAAAAGCCTGTTGTGAATTTGGAACTTCAAGCCTATTTATCCTGCAGATTGAAGGATAAGTAACATCACATGGTTTGTCCAAGATACTCATAAATTAGATCTGATATGAAAATCAGTCTTGGGCCAATGATACTTCTTGTATTGCTTACAGAAACTTCTGTAGGAGGCCCACCCTCAACCAGGCCACACAGGACTCTCCCAGATAAAGCCACTGACCATTAGCACAGATTTTAAAGCCACAGAACACAGGAAGAAACAATCTATTTACCATGACCAAAACAAACAGGATTAAAATCCAAGAATTTCAAATAAAGGAACAATCTTATACACACTATGAGTGTTTATGTAAACACTGTAAGTGTATTTGAAATGATTTAAAGATATAAAAGAAAGAATTGAGTCTGTGTAACAAAATGCTATAAAGATAAAGGACCAGGAAGGGTTTTTGTGTGATTTTTTTTAAATTTAATTTTTGAGGCAGGGTCACACTCTTTTTGCTGCCGCATGCTGATCTTGAATTCCTGGGCTCAAGTGATCCCTCCACCTCAGGTTCCCAAATGCTGGGACTTCAGGTACATACCACCTCATCTGGTTAGGTAAATTTTTTTAAACACTTAAACTGATTATCTAACCATTGAAATGATAGTCATTAAAAGTGAAAGTTCACTTGGCACATTAAATAGCAAAGAAAGAGTAATCTGTTTTTCCTCTGGGCTGCCACATTTGAAAAATTATGTATTTTTCTGTAGTGCAGAAAAAGTTAACTTTAGTCTATTTAAAAATAATTCCAATGTCCAAAAAAAAAAAAAAATCAGAAAGCTAATCTGGGATGGGGTGTGGCTCAAGTGGTAGGGTTTTACTTAGAAAGAATAGCCTAATCAAGAATTGATACTTGCATGAGGCCCTGGGTTCGATCCCAGCACCAAAAAAGAAAAGACTAAAAAAAAATAATAATTAATACTATAATTATAAAATGGTCTACTAAAGATGTCATTTATTAAACTGTGTAACCTTGAGAAGGCAAGTATACCCCCCTGGGCCATAGGTTTCTTTCAGAAATTAGGTCAGGACTTTTTTTTTAGCTTTTTATTTTAAAACAAATTTAGATTTACTGAAAAGTTATAAAAACAGTATGATGAGTTCTTGAATACCCTTTACCAGTCTTCTAATGTTAATATCATACATAACTATAGAGCAATTTTTGAAACTAGGAAATTGACATTGACTCAATACCATTAATTAACCCATAGCCTTATTCAGTAGTAGTCCTCCCACTACTGCCATTTTTCTGACCCAATCTGGAATCCTGGGCTGCATGCAATTGTTGTGCCTCCTTGGTTTCCTCCAATGTCTCACAGTTCCTCTGGTTTTATCTTTCATGACCTTGACACTTTTGAAGAGCACTGATCAGATATTTGTAGGACAGTGCTCAATTTGGGTTTGTCCAATGGTTTCTCATTACTAGATTTAGGTTATGCTTTTCCTACTTTCAGCACATCATATCCAGGGTGTCACTGTCTTACTGGTGATATTAACTTTCATCACTTGGTTAAAGTAATATCTGCCAGATTTCTCCCCTGCAATGTTACTATTTTCCCATTGTAATTAATAAATATCCTGTTCTCATCCTACTTTCAACTACTGCTTGTAAGCTAAATAACTTATAAGTCCTTTTCATCTCTGAAAAACCCATAACTCTTGTGATTAAATTCCTAACTTTATTTTGACTATTGAGAAACAAAAATTAAGCCCCCGAGTCCATAGAAACATCCCAGATTTGATTAAGTATTTAACAGGACAATAGTGAATTCAATGTTTTTAAGCAGATAAAAGTTTGCCATTTCAGCTTAATAAAGGCCATGTAAGCTTTACTGTGACTCTTTCCTACTATAGCTCTTAATTAACTTCTTCCCATGAACTTAATCTCTGTGTTTCCAGATCTTCCTATTAGTAATAATCAAATCACATTACCCTAGGGAACCATTCAAGAGTGGAAAAGTGGTGGGAACTAGACACCCACTTAACACAAATCTACTTACATCCATCAACCCCAGTGAGATGCTTCTGTGGACTCCTTACCTCCCTGGCTCCTGGCTACCTTGAACTCCTCATCACTTTAAGAATGTTCAAGTTGGGCTTTAGGCTTTTTGTGACAAACTGACCTTGGAATGGAGCAAAATATAAATTACTTGCATAGTATGTGCCTAAAAGACCTAAATTTAACCACTGCCAGGCTCTCCACTGTTTTCAAATGTAAGTTTAGACAGGTTGATAAATACTTGTACCCTTATCTCCTTCCCAGGTTTGCAAGTGAATGAAATGAAGTACTTTGAGCATCATCTGTGGGAGAATCTGATTTAATCTAACTCACTGTCAATTTCAAGTTATTTATCATAGCAATAAAGTATTAATAAAAACACTCTCTTAGGACTGGTGGAGTGGCTCCAGTGGTAGAGCTCCTGCCTAGCAAGTGTGAAGCTCTGAATTCAAACCCCAGTACCACCAAAAAAAAAAAACCCCAAAATGCTCTCAATCTCAACATAATTCATTGAGATTCTAGTTCTTAAAAAGTAATGATTTTTTTCTCTTCAGAATTCTTGGTTGAAATATAAACTTCAATGAAAAGAAAATCTCAAGTAGAGATGATTTTCTGTTTTTTAAACCTGGAATTTCATATATATAAAGTGTCATTTCCTTGTAACTATATTACAATAAAAGCAAAGGTGAGGAACTGCCCAAAATGTTATCTGTCATCGCTCCATGGTGTATTGCACAAAATACTTGGTATTTCTTTTTCTCTGCTCATGGCTCTTATATTTGACATATACCGCATTGAACTCTTCATCTTTCATCCTCCCTCCACCCTGTCCATCCTCTATATCATGCCCATCCATGGCATCCAGTCACCACCCTAAGAGGTGATTTTCTTTGTCTCCCTTCTCTCTTATCCTTCACAGCCACACTTGTCAAGTTGCATTGCTCCTGTTTTCTCAGTGACTTGTGTCTGTTTATTTATTTCCAGTCTTATCTCTGTTGCCTTCATTCAGGTCTCCATCTCTACTCTGGATTTTGTACTATCCTCATAATTTGTCAGACTGCCTGGATAAATGTTACTTATTGTTGTTACCATTTTTATAGAATAAATTCCAGTCTCATTAACGTGACATTTAAGCTATATAGACATTCTATATTCTGATCACATATATCATTATGTGTTCTAAGTTAGGTCATACCATTCACCTGCTGAGAATCTCCCACTGGCTCCCAGTTCCCTCTGGGACTGATATTCAGGGTAGAAATTGCACCTGACTTATCTTTGATAATCCCCCATTCACATATTCCTGAAGGGCCTAGCATAGTAAATAACACCCAATGTGTACTCAAACACTATTTATTGAGTTGAAATGGATGGAGGTAACCACTATCCTATGACACCTGTTAATCTATATAGCATAGAAATGATTTCAACATGAAAAATAGATTTACTTCTTTCATTTTGTTAGGAAAATTCTGCTTTGTTTTTCTATTGTAAAGCAAAATGTCTAAGAAATCAGCAGTTGACTGTTTTCTGTCCTATTCATATTTCTGTGTGCCAATCTCCTTCCACCATATTTCGCAGCTGTACTCACACTTATAAACAGCACACATCCTGGGAAGCCATGTCTACTAACAGCATCTTATGAGCAGAATTTGAACTGGGAGAGATTGGTAATGGAATTTTTGACTTGGGGACAAGTGAAAAATCATACAAGAAAGAAAACCATAAGGAGTTGATTGTTCACATGATTTTATAAAGCAGAGTCCTGATGTTTTCCTCTTATTTCAGTACTTCATTACTGTCCAGAATGTTATGCTCATTTTAACTTGCATTTAGTCCATATAAATATGAGAATAAGTGTTTACTTTGAGTAAGAAAACAAATTTCTCTAGGGAAATCAAAATGTGCTATCAATCTTGAGAAAAAAACATGCTGTCAATTACCCAATATATCTAGTGCATTCAGAGCTGAGTATCCTACAGTTCATTTTAAATACAGAGGAACAGACAAGTCTATTCTTCCCTCCTCTCCCTCTTATATTCTCATATTCTCTCTCTCTCTCTCTCTCTCTCTCTCTCTCTCTCTCTCTCTCTCTTTTCATGCTTAGATGCAGAAGAAGACAGCTTGTTTTAAGCAGTTCACCCCTTTTTCAATTTGGTCTTCTGGAAGGCATATTCTTCTTGTGAAATTTTAATTGTTTCTCTAACACCTCTGTATTTGTGAACTTACTTAAGATGATAGTAGGTTCAGTGAAGAATAAGCAGTAAAAACAGACTGGTGATATTTCCTTACTTCAGTTCAAATAAAATAGAGAGACTGGAGGAGAAGAAAACATAATCAGTTATTTAGCAGGGTGAACACTGATACATGTACCAGAAAAATAATGCTTATTGGTACCAAAGCTTCATGGCTTAGAATATGAGCTTCAGCTTCAAATCTCCACTTATCTACTTTTCATTGTGTGACCTCCAGCAAGTTTCTGAACTCCTCAGAGTCTAAAGAACTTCATTTGTACAAAGGAGATGATAAATAATAACATCATTTGGAGGATTAAATAGAAAGAGCAGTAAGGAAGACCAATAATCTTTGTACTACAGGTTAAGTATCCCTTATCCAAAATGTTTGAGACTGGAAGAGTTTCAGATTTCAGATTTTTTTGTGGCTTTTGAAATATCTGTGAATACATAATGAGATATCTTGGGAGTGAGACCCGCGTATAAATGTGAAATTTGTTTATGTTTCATATATACTTTATACACATAACCTAAAAGAAATTTTATATATTATTTTTGATGTGCCTGCATTCTGGCTATATCCAATCACATGCGGTCCATCCAATGTGGATTTTCCACTGTAGCATCATGTTGGTACTGAAACAGGTTTGGCTCTTGGAGGATTTTGGGTTTTCAGATTAGGGTTGCTCACACTGTATTATTTTCACTTTAACCATGAAGAATAGAAGCTTTTGCAGTGTTAGTAAGCTCATACAGTTGGGAGTGGTGGAGTTGGGCTTCAATCATCACACAAAGTAGTGTTAGCACCTGCCAAATGTTTGTAGTGTTAGCGAGTAATATTTTCATCTGGCAGAACTCTCTCAAGAATAGCTTTTACTGAATTTTTCTAATTTTTTGTTGTGTTTATACCTAAACATTAGAAAGCATTTTCTGTTATGTAGAAAGCTGTGTGGAAATGAATCTATTCAGTGCCCAGTATTTAGGTGTCTGTTTACAGCCTACACTACTCTTTGAGTCTCCTTATATAATTTTAACAGATATACAAGTCAGCAATTTTATACATAAATCACCCTTGAATGACATTTGGTTCTATCAGCTGAAAGACTGAGAATTCTGTGTGTAAAGGTGGATTCAGCCTTCCTAACTGTGTGGCTTGTGGTTCCCTAGGGGAGGTGGTCCTTTTGATGAAGATGCCTGCAGACAGTCCTGCCGACGAAGGGCAGCACCTGCCTGATGGGAGGATGGTGACCCCCACCAGCACCTTCACCCAGCAAGACATCAACGAAGGCATCGTGTGGTACAGGCACTCGGGAGCCCCAACCCAGAGTGACTCCTTCCGCTTCCAGGTGCCCTCTACTTCCTGACCTCTCTGAGTCTGATGCAAGCTATCACCCTTATTCATGAAGGATGTAGGCCATTTTCTGCAATGGCCTGTTGGGTGGGGGAGGGGGGAAACTTGCAATTAATAGCGTTAAGAGAGAGTGTTTTTAATCTGTCCATTCAAATGTCTCCATGTGTAGAGTCATCCACAACAAATAGGCTTATATTAAATAATGGCCAGTGTGTTCAGGAAAAAATTCTTTAAAAATACCACATGGAGAAAACCAATTTTGAATGTGCTGGGACCATTCACCATCTTATGGTAAGATTATGGACAACAGCCAAGCTCAGTAGCTTGGGTATTAGTTCTGCCACTTGTGAGATACACAACTTTAGACAAATTACTTGGCAATATGCTTGCGCTTTAGTTTCCTCATCTGTGAAATAGATGAGGAATTAGCACTTATAAAGCATTTAGACTACTGCCTGACAAACAGTATACACTACCTAGGGGTTTGTTATATCCATGTATAAAAATGGATGAAATATTAGACCATAAGGAGACCTGCCATAAACTAAAGAACAGGTTTATACTTAGGCACATTCTCTGACCTTATGAATATAGCTAGAAATTTAAAATAAAAAGATAAACAAAAAAATTTAAACAACTTAGACTATTTAAAATGGTCTCTCCAAATAATTACTAGGCTTTAAAGGAAATCAAGCCAGTAAAGTATTAAGAATATTGATGAGGAGGAAATAACTTATCAAAACTTAAATGATTCAGACAAAATTGTATTCAAAAGAAAATTGATGGCATCTCTTATTATTGAGCAGGAAAGCACAAAAACAAATGGACTAAATATTTAACTCAAGAAGCTAGAGAACCACAAGGAAAGCCCAAGGAGAGCAGGAAGAAAGAATTAATAAAGATTAGCAGAGGAATTGGTTGATTTTAAAATGCTAGAAATGATAAATGAGTACAAATCCAATTCTTTGAAAAGACCGATAAAATTAGAAAAACCCCTGGCAAGCACAATATGGAAATAAGGAATTAGGCAGAAATACAAAGGAATAAGGAATTATGAATGAGAAAGAGTGTTTAAGTGGGAATACAGAGAAGAAATTGGAGAAGTCTCAGAGAAAGTGTATGTGTTCATGGTGATCAGCTAAAGCAGTATCACCTCCAAGTTTAAGACTTTTCCTTAGTTTAGGAATCCAGTTGAGAATAAACCAACCATGGTAGCTCCCCTTGCTAATATTATCATACATTCTGTTTCTGATGCCTGGCGTTTATATATCTTCCTTGCCTGACTAACTTCTATTGCATAAAACATGTGCTTTTCCAGAAAGCAGGTTGAGATAAATTTGGAAACCATTAAAATAAGATTATACTAAGTACACCGAATGTCCATTAAGTGACCAGTGCTCTGGGCCTGTGCCCAATTAACTTCTTGTGTTGAGCACCTGGAGAGTGCAGCAGTCATCAAAGAATAAGTCAGAAAAATTTTAATCAAAAGAAGTCACTCCAACAAACTAGAACCCATGGCTCTGCCTTTGTTTTCATGGAGGTTGAAAGAGAGATAATGTTGTCAATATGGAGAGTTTCCCTGGAAGGAATTTTAGGTACCTGTTTAAAATGATATTTGATTGCTTTTTCAAATTCATTACTAAGTAGATAAGATTAAAAAAAATAAGATAGTAGAAGTTACTGATTTAAAAAAACTAACAGTAGAATTTAAGACGTCCAACTGAACATTATTACTTAAAAAGTGGCTCGTTTTGGAGAGTCTTCATACTTTTTGCACAAAAATGTGTTTAGAACTCCTGTTTGAAATTGCTTTCAAAGTGTGTGGGATCTTCTTTGCAATCTCCTCAATAGCTGACAGTGTATCATGCTTTGTAGCTTTAAAAATACAGAAAAATAGCCAAAAGTCATTCAGAATCAGTTCTGTTAGAAAAAGAGTGGTAATTATTTTTGGTTAAGACAGGAGTAATTATGAGGCAGTGAACTCAGCATTCTGTGATTTGTGTACTCTCTGAAGGCATTCCAAAAAGTGCATTTCAAACACTGACAGCATCTTTATTGCAAGTATGAAACAACTCTGAGATTATGTTCTCCTGGACATAAAAGTGTTTGTGTTTGTTTTTAAAGTCTCATTGCTTTATAGGCTTACTTCATATTTTGATTTCAAATGCACAGACATTCCAGCCATGTGCTAAAATAAATGGTTAACAACTTTTCCCATTTATCTTAGTATCCCTACAGGATTTGAACCAAAAAAAAAAAAAGATGCTATTCTAATGATTCTTTTTTTCTTCTTCCCTTGTTTTTTTCTCTTTAAAGCAGGAAATGCAATATAATGAGTTGCACAGATTTTATTCTGTTTTAATGTTGATGTGGTGTCATGAGCTATCAATGCATCCCATCTGTTACTTCACAGGGAAGATTTGGGATTTATGGAGTGCAAGTGGCATTTTAAAATAGAGATGGTCTAGTGAGAAGAAACCATAAACATTCACAGTCATTTTAGGTGTAGGAAAATAGCCCAAATTTGGTAAATTTGGATCACATTGGCACAACCTTGGCATATGTTTGAAAAATACCAACATATTTCATTATCAGTGTCTTTATGGTAAGCCTGACTGATCCATTTGCTTAGTAACATGCCGCGTTTCACTACCTGACCAATGGTCTGTTCTTTTACACTAAGAAGTAGGAGAACACATTTTTCCCTTTCCTAATTTCCTAAAACTACAAAGTGAGTCATTTGGGTCAAGGAAAAAAATTATGCATCCAACTTGGATTAAACTTGGTGGTTAATACTAGCACTTATTGGCTCTATAGCTTTGGCTCATTGCTTTAATTTTCTGACCTTTAGTTTCCTCATCTGTAAAAACACACAAAAAAAGATAATAACATTACTTTGTGGGAAATAAGAAGACAGCAGCTAGTACAGTATTGATCCGATGCCTGATGATCAGTGAATTATAGCTGTTATCATTAATATCATTTATAGGGATGCTAAATCTCCTTGAAGACATGTGGATATTCTGAAACTTGACCCCAGGCACCTGGTGCGATCCAAATAAAGACAGTTTTTCTGCCGGGTGTCACTGGTGTCCCCGCCTTCTGTCTCAAAGCTTCAAGTACACTATCCCCATAACGTGGAAGTCACACAGTTGTTGTGACAAGTCTGAGGTCAGGCAAACAGCAGAGACAGGGAGGACTTGAGGGAACAGCTCAGTGTCTTGGAGGAAGCAAGAAGCTGTCTAGCAAAAGCAATTTTCAGCATTTTTGAAGCAAGAAAATGTTGCTTCTGGAACTACTACCCTAACTATAAATATTATTAGTCTTGTTCTGCCATGAGGCTAAGGTTTATCATTTAGTGTCTGGGTGTAGCTATCTGTGCGGATAAAGATGAAAGGAATGAAATAAGAATCATCTTATATGTTCATAATAAAACTTTATCTAGCCTTCAAAAACTATGTTATCAGAAATGGTTAATGATACAGCAAAATGTCACAGTACTGTGTTAAGTAAAAAATTAGAATGGACAACTGTGTGTAAATTTAGGTAAGTCTGCACAGGAAAATGATTACGTTGGGATGCCTCTGTATTAATAATCAAACTTTTATGTTGTGAAATCCTAGATGATTTTTTATTTATTTTCTTGCATTTTCAGAATTACCTAAAATGGTTATGTATCTTTTTATAATTAATAAATGATTAATAAGCTGGGCACCTGGCTCACACCTGTAATCTTAGTACTTGGGAGGCTGCAATGGGGAGGACGCAGCTGCAGGCTATCTGAACAGGAAGCTTGTGAGTACCCCATCTCAGCCAATGGCTGGGTGTGGTGGCATGCACCTGCTGTTCCAAACTACACAAGAGACTGAGATCAGGAGGATTGCATTGTATGGTTCCAAGCCAGCCCAGGCAAAAAAAGTTTACAAGATCTCATCTCATCGGAAAAAGTGCTGGATGTGGTGATATATTCCTGTCATCCCAGCAAGGCAAGACATTTAAAATAGGAGGAATGTGGTTCGCATCAGCCTGGGCAAAGGGTGAGATCCTATCTCCAAAATAACCAGAGCAAAAAGGACTGGAGAAGTAACACATGGTAGAGCACCTGCCTAGTAAGTGTGAGGTCCTGAGTTCAAACCCAGTACTGCAAAAATAAATAAATAATAAAATACGAAGGGCAGAATGAAAATTACAGTGCAGGAGCACAGCATTCAAAGAGAGATGGTGTAGAGAAGGGCAACACTACACATGTGCAAACATGCTCTGCACAGCAGAAGATGAGGGACTCACCAGGATAACTTTGTATTTCAGGTGTCCAGGGCCACTGATGCCCAGGCCCACCTAGAGAGCCGTGTGTTCAACATCGCAATCTTACCTCAAACACCTGGGATGCCTAAACTCTCCCTGGGGTCATCTCTCCATATGACGGTGAGTTGGGTGGGAGGGCTTACAGTTCTCAGTTGGAGGAGGCACACAGCGTGATGATGAGATTTGATGAAGTACCCTGGTTTCGGATGTAGAAGTGCTTGACCCAGTAAATGTAGATCCCAGTGCCAATAAAGGCAGCCCTGTAAACACATTTCAAAAAAAAAAAAAAAAAACCTCCCGGTGAAAGGAGAATTTGAATACTTGGAAGAAATTTCAAGTTTATGACCATATCATTGTTCAGCCAGTTATAGCACCACCTAGCTGGAGAAACTAGGAGCAATTTTTAAAAGCCCTATTAGAAGTTTCCTCTGTATTGTAAAAACTTCCTAAAGAAAGTGATGTCAATGCTGAATTCAGGGAGATAAGTAGCAATTACTTATCCAAGTGAAAATTTGGGGGCAGGTGGTGTGGGATTGAGGGGTAACAGCAAAGGGCGCCGCCACAGGTATAAAGAGCACATGGAGGACCCAGAGTTACCTTAGGGTAGATGGAATATGACAGTTGGGAAATTGCAAGTAGTTCAATTAGACTGTTGAAATGAGGGAGGCAGAGAAGGCGTGGTGGGAATATAGAGGTCATTCCCCCATCACAGAAGGTCTTGGGTGTTGTGTGGGAAGGAGTGGGGCACTTGGAAAGATGTGAGCAATGGTTTCACCTAAACTATCACATGGAGCTCAGTTCAGACAATCAGCAGTCTATGTCTAAGGTAGGTGGAGTGCCAGACTGCTCTTCCAGACAGAGTCACAGGATACAAGCCCTTGTAAATTAATTATCATGGATCCGTACTTTAGTTAGCGCCCACATAATTATACTCCAAAGTAGTGTATCAGCCTTGAGCCATAACAAAGAGAGCAGTGATAGTTTCAAAAATTATGGGTCTGGGGCATGACAGAGACGTGAAGGGGAAAATAGAAAGTTTTTAATGAATAGCTGGTATCGGTATTTCCACCATAAACCGTAATTTAAAGAAATCATAATTCAGCAGCACTATCAAGTCTATAATTCGTCATTCTGACTGGAGGAACTTGGATCAGAATTTTCTCTAAACTATAAAGAAAAATGTGCATATGTATTTCTTGCCAGATGCTAATGCAGTGTTATTTTGAGTTTAGAAGGGAAAAAAATAGGCCAGGAGCCATGAAAATGGTGTGTTTCTCTTTATTGCTATGAAGAGACTCTTCCTTGTTAATCTTTAGGGTCTCAGATTGCAGGTTTGCAAATTAGGTCTGTCCATTTGAAACTTAGGACATCTCAAAAGTTAGTCTACTATAAAATGTGATGAGCTGCCGGGCTCCAGAAGCTCGTGCCTGTAATCCTAGCCTCTTGGAGGCTGAGATTGGGTAGATCATGGCCAGCTGGAGCAGGAAGTTCACAATACTCCATCTCAACCAGTAACTGGTCGTGGTGGTGTGCATCTGCTCCTGTCATCAAAGCTGCATAGGAAGCTGAGATCAGGAGGATAAGTTTCACGCCAGCCTGGACAAAATGTTTGAAACACCCCAATTCAACAGAAAAAAGCTGGATGTGGTGACATGTGCCTGTCACCCCAGCAACAGCAAGAAGCTTAAATAAGAGGATTGTGGTCCAGGCCCACCAAGGCAAAAAGTGAGATCCTGTATCCAAAATAACCAGAGCAAAAAGGGCTGGAGGTGTGGCTCAAGTGGTAGAGTACTTGCCTAGCAAGTGTGAAGCCCTCAGTTCAAACCCCAGTACCACCAAAAAAATGTGTTTAGCTTACATTACTTACAATACTGTTTATGTTTCTTTTGACACTAATTAGGGCGATTGCTCTAGGATATACTTGTGGTCTCTGACAAAATACACTTTCAATTCAATGACTGGGACTCATCTAAACATTTGTCAACTATGTTATTGATACTTGTGGTAAAGGTACAGAGGGTATGCCCATATGCTTTTTCTTTTGCATGATTTTTTTCCTTTATTGTTTTTCTGGATGGGGGTAATTGTGTGTAAGAACAGAAGTTCTTACAATGTATCAAATATATCATACTTGAATTCACCCCCTCCATTGCTTTCCTTTATTCCTCTCCCATATTCCTAGAATAGTTTCAACAGGTATCAGTATTACATTTACATACGTATATACATAGTTTTTGCACCTTATTTACCCTCCTACCCCCTTTCCTGCCACCTCCCCCTCCCACTGGTACCAAACACCGCCCCCCCCACCCCAGCAGGACCTGTTCCGCCCTCCTGTTGTAGATTTTATAGAATGAAAAAAGAAAAGAAAAAAATGACATTTTTGCTTGTTTGAGATAAAGGTAGCTGTGCAGGGAGTTTCCCAGTGATATTTCCATATATAGATGTGCCTTATGCTTTTAAAAATAGGAGTCTACTTTTCCATTCTTCTGTACATTCATCCGTAAACACTTGTGAGCTCTTAGTTTGTGACAACTGCTGTGGAAGACATTGGAGATTTTCTGACCTTAAAAATATAGTCTCTATTCTAAAGAATCTTTGTGTCTAAGAGAGGAGACAGGCAAATAAATAAACAGTGATAAATACCAGGACAGAGCAATGACACAGGAGCAAAAGGGAGGACATCTCTTGCAGTAGTCATGGAAGAAGGTTCCAGAAGGCTTCCTCTAGGAGGGGAACTAAGCTGGTTGAGTGTAAATTATCTCAAGATCGGGGTTCTTGAGATTACAGACTTAAGCCTGTATTCAAATCACCTGCAGAATTTGTTAAAACACAGGTTACTAGAACCCACCCCAGAGCTTCCAATTCAGTAGTAGAGTAAAGAATCTGCATTTCTAACAAGTTCCCAGGCAATGCTGTTGAGCACAGCACCACACTTGAAGAACCACTGAACTAGACTAAATTGGGGAATTTCATCCCGGGAAACAGAAGCAGCAGATTAAACAAGATAGAGACGCTGAACATGGCATAGTTGAAGAATTACAGGTAGTTCATTTGGCTGGAGAATAAATCACCAGGAGTAATCACCAGGAGTAAAAGCAGCAAAAACAACAATCAGATTATGGAGGACCTTAAAGAAAAGATGGAGTTTCCATTTTGTCCTGCAAAACTATTGGGGCAAGTAGACATGGAAAGATTTATAGAAGAAATGTGGGATGAGCTTAGGAAAATCATTCTGGCAGCAGGGTAGAGAACACCCTGGATGGGGCTATCCAGGAAACAAATGAACTAATGCAATCATGTAGAACAAGAAAAGTTACGACACAAACCTCATGCAGTAGCAATAAGCGTTCAGGGCTAGGGAGAGGCTAGGGAGATCTTGAGGAGATACCTGCACACCCATATTCATTGTAGAATTACTCACAATAGTCAAGACATAGAAGCAATCTAAATGTTCATCAACAGCTAAATAGATAAGAAAATGTGATAGTCTGACCATGGTGGCACATGCCTGTAACCTCAGCTACTTGGGAGGCATAGGTAGGAGATCAAGATCAAAGACCTAGACCAGTCCCAGGCAAAAGTGAGAGACCCTGTTTGAAATTTTTCAAACACCCCCTAAAGAAAAGGGGCTGGGGTATGGCTTAAATGGTAGAAGTCCCTGAGTTCAAACACCAGTGCTGCCAAAAAGAGGGAAAAAATGTAAATAAATAAACTGTGATGTACACACACATATACTTGCACACTGTAATATTATTCAGCCTTTTAAAAAGATGAAATCCTGTTATATGCTACAGGATGAGCCTTGAGAACATTATGCGAGGTGAAATAAACCAGTCACAAAAAATGCTAAGTACTGTATATGGTTCCACTTACATAAGATATCTAAAAGTAGTCAAACTCTTAGGAAAAGAAGTAGAGTGGGGGTTGCCAAGAGTGAGAGAAGTGGGAGAGAGAAAGGGGGAGTTGTTCAATGGATGTGAAGTTTCAGGAAGATGGTAAGGTTCTAGAGATCCTTGCATATAGCTAACACTATTGTACTGTATTCTTAAAAAGAGTTTAGATGGTTAAAAAAAAGTCAGAGAGACAGAGAAAGGAAGATTTAGAGACACAGTGGCCAGTTTGATATGGAAAGACCCTAGTTTCTGAGAATTCGGAGGTGCCATTCATTGAGGTCAGGAGGGGGAGGCATAGCAACTTGAGTTTGGACTGTGCTTATGAAAGAAATGCTGGAGTCCAGTGTTGAAAGGTGAGAATAATCCATGTGAATTCACAGATGAGGGAAGTGTGTGTGTGGTGGAGCACACATCATGGCAGGCCCCCACAGGCCATGGGGAGAACTTGGCTTTTTTACTCTGTGTGAGATGGAAGGCCATTGCAGTGTTGGGAACAGGTATAATGTCCTCTGTAAAGAGCTCCTGCTGGCTGCTGGGCTGAAATAGACCATAGGGGAAGTGACAGCTGTTGGAGGCCAGTGTCAGAATTCAGGGAAGAGGATGGCTCTGAGCAGAGTGGAGGTGGGGAAAAGGATTTGGATTCTGGGTATATTCAGAGATAAGATGGGTATTATGAAAACCATTATTCTGTAATCTTCTTTTGTTGACAGATATGTTATGAAAAATGTCTTCTGTAATGATCGCCATAAAATTTAATCTCTCATTTCTTACAGTGTTTAATTGATAAATATATAACATTCCAAATAGCCAGTATTAAAATCGATCGTACTTTGATATATAACAACCTCTTAATATTGCTTTCTTCAGAGAATTAAGTCATCACTTTTTCTACCTGTTATCTATTTCTATTAGTAAAGAAATAGCATTTATAAATTCCCAAATAAAACATCTGTTGTTTTGACTAGAACATATTTCCCTTTTCTACAGTTCTAGGTCCATGATAATTCTCTCTTCTTATTACTTTATTGTTTTAGGAGCGTGTAGGTTTTCAAAAGTATTCCATGATACTCTGAAATATTTAGTCATTATGATGATTCTGAGGTTAGAAGGTGGCAAACTGTACCAAACATTATACTGTGCCCATAACTATTTGTCTGTGTTTCTGTGGCCCCTGGATGGGCTCTAAATACCTGATAAAGGACAGCAAATTTTTAATTTGTTGTCATTGGTTTATTTTAAAGGGGAGAGACCAGCTGCTATTCGCAATTCTCATTTTCCTTGCTCTTTACATTCCAGACCTGAGCAAGGGTGTGAAATATGACTCTTTACTATAGGGGGATTGTCCTAACCTGCAGATGCTGCCTCTCCCTGGGACAAATATGCCCTGGGGACAATTGCAAAGCAAATGCAACCTTCAGTCTTTTCTTGGTTAAAACGAGGAATACACCCTCCCTTATGAGCATTTCTGAGCCCCACTTAATCCTTTTCTAAATGGGAACACCACTTCTGAAAGAAGCAGAGCTTTAAAGAGCAGGAGCGTGTCATACTCCAACCCACCTTCAGGGCTCAGTCATGATTTGTTCTGTTTTAACAGCATGCATGACTCAGGCAGAAGAACCCCATGCTCAGACTAGCTTTCCCTCCTCTCTGTCCCTAACCCAGTGTCAGGCCTAGTCATAGAGCCTGGATCTTTCCTTTTTGGTTTTTGAGTGTAGCCACTTGGGTTGAGGATATGCACTGGTGAATTGATAGTGAGCGCTACATATGCATCAGCCCTGTGGTTAATATTCATTCACTGGGCCCTGAATGCTAGAGTAGAAAAGCAGTATTTAGTTTTCTTGACTAGTAGAATGGAGACAAAGAGAAACAGTGACTATTTTTATGTACTTTAACGGACAAGTCGTTCTTGAACCTCTCTCTTAATGCAAGTGGTGAGCCATTTCTGGTTGGCTGAATCAGACTCATCTTTAGCCTTTTGAAACCAGAAAGCATCCCAGTTCCTGTTAGCAAGCTGGGGTGAGGAGGAAGGCACTGAAGAACCTTTTTCCAAGAGTTAAGCCTCTCAACTGGCTGCTCAGAACTGCTTGCCATACTCAACTTTAGCACATTAGTTTAAAGGAGCAGAGATGTCAGCTCGGAACAGGAGAGTAGCCAGCTGTGGTGCCTCGTTTCCAGAAGTGTTCCACTGCAGCTTCAATGGGACACATGTCATCCTACTGGGACCACACATCATGCATGGACATAAACCTGGAGTCAGAGGGCAGGGGAGGGAAGAATTCGAGTTTGAGAAAACCTGAAAAGACCTCTATAACCCTGAGAGGTTCCTGAGGCTGGGCAAATCTGTAATTCCAGATCCTTCTCTCTTTTCTTTTCTTTTTGTTTTTGTCTTGCAGTGCTGGCGATGGAACCTAGGGCCTTGCACATGTTAGGCAAAAACACTTTGCCACTGAGGTACATCCTCAGCCCTCAGATCCTTCTTTTAAAGTCTTGGAGGAAATCTTGCTAAGTGTGACTGATTTAAAAGCCCCTGATTTAATAAGGTTTGGTTTTTGTCTCTAGCTTTTCTTTTCACCATGCCATTTTTTTCTTCTTTCTTTCTAAACTTTGTTCAGGCACGGGAAGAGGGCCTGACTATCATTCATCCACATTCGCTGTCCTTCGTGAAGTCTGAGAGGCCCACTGGAAAGATTACATATAACGTCACTCTACCTCTGCATCCAAATCAAGGTAAGATGTGCAGTAAACGGTCTCTTGAGTGATGCTACCGCCTTGTGGTTGTGGACCAGTCCTAAAACCTCCAGAGTTTTGGCTGCTGTATACACAGCAATACTAGTTGAGATTTTAAAGAAGAACTAATGTTAACAACCCATGCTCATGTCCTCTCATAACATGGGGTACTGGACTGAGTACCCCTCCCATCAATGGCAGAACCCACCACACAGAGACATCATCTGTAGGGGCAGAGATGCCCTGACAAAGTTGTAGCAGGCAAGCAGAGCAAAATGAGCAGTTTCTAAGAATAAGGAGGTCTGCCAGAGCCCAAAGAAGGTTGAACTACACATACTCAGTTTCTTCCCCAATTATATAAGTCACTCATTCTCCTATAGATGAATATAGAAATGGGGAACTACAGTTCCAGAGGAGAGGCGGCTCCTGTCAGTAGACCCCAGCCTTTAGATTTCTTAACATTGGGCTAACTAGTAAACCCATGCCTAATAGAGGTGTACTATCCCTCATAGAAAGAAGATTGACTGCTACTGTGACAGTTCAGCTCTTGCCTTTAAGACTGCTTTCCAAAGACCAGTCATTGCCCCAATAGGATACCTCTCTCATTATCAAATACTCAAAGAGAAATAAAAGAATAAACATTAAACTTCAGGATCCTGTGAGTGAAGTCCAAAGAAATTGAAAGTCATCCTCTCCCTTTTTAAACTGCTAAGTTGTAGCTAGAGGTTCTCCCTATTGCCAGTTCTTACAGACCAGCAGCCTGGGCTGTTTTCTGCAGAATGGCCTTTGGTCAGTTAGCCTCTCCGAAGGTGAATTAGTTCAGCACCAAGTCCCACATGGGCCCTCCTTCAAAAGAGTGAATAAGACATGGAAGATGAGCACAGCCTCAGTTCTGCACCTACAACATTTATGAGTGACAGGCAAACCTGCAGCCTCTAGAGTATTGATCACAAGCCAAGTGATGGAGCAAACTCAGTTCTTAGAATAATCAAGGTCCACATTCCGGTTGCCAAAGATCACAGAGTCTGAGGCATTTCTGGAGCAAACAGGGAAGACTGAGAAAAAAAATCTCTTCAAGCATAATCAGAGAGCAGTCCGTGACAGTCTCTCAGTGACCTTGACTTTGAATTGAAACTCAGTTGGGAGGGTCTCATAGTTATGGTACTGTGTCCGTAACTTCTGGAATGGTGTGCTCTAAGCTATATTAGAACAGTTGTCAAGACCCTGTTTGGATTTCAGATTTGCCTATTTCCTGAATAACTGAAGAATGGTGCAGGAAGAACAACCCAAGAGCTGTTGCTCCTGAGGGATTTGACTCCCCCCAGGGAGCAAGGCCAGCTTTGTGGCTCTGGCTGTTCTGTCAGCTATGATGGTTACAGTGGATGCTCATGTCTGTCTCTTCCTCCCTAGGTATTATTGAGCATAGGGACCAGCCTCATTCTCCCATCCGGTATTTCACACAGGAAGATATTAACCAGGGCAAAATCCTGTACCGTCCTCCCTCTGCGGCCCCCCACCTCCAGGAGATCATGGCCTTCTCCTTCGCTGGTAATGCTCTCTTCTCTGCTTCAAGGCACCCAAATTACTGTCTGTGGATCTTCATGACTGGCTTGCCCATTCTCTGGACAGTTTGGTGACACTGCTTTACAGCTACTCAAAATAGCTTGCAACCTGTCAGCCAGTATGTGGCTTGGGCCCAGTTCCATCTTGTTCCCCCATTCATTCATTTGCACATGTGTACTTTTTGTAAACTTTTACTTTGTGGCTCCTATGTGCCAGTCACTGAGTGATACAGTGGTGATACAGTGTTGAGCAGAGAAGTGTGGACCCTGTTCTTGGGCTATTTGGGGATGTAGATATAGAGACAATTAGGTAAATAATCCCAGTAGTGAATGTTTAGTTGGAGACTGAGATAAAAGCTCTGTAAAGAAGGAAGACTGTTCAATGGCATAATTAACCATAAGCAGACCAAGGCCAAGGACTCAATGGAGACTTCCCAGAGAGGTATTAGCAGGGCAAGATGGGTAGAAGCTAATGAAGCTAAGTGTGCATGTTGGGATGGTAGGGAGAGTGTTCCTGAAGGAAGAGCATGTGCCTCCTATGCAGAGGCCATGGGAAAAGAGAAATTGTGACAGAATCAATGTGAGTGTGTATTGTGGAGGGTCCAGCAGAGGACAGATAAGTGGTTAAAAGATATGCCAGACTTCACAGTTCCTGGAAGCCTATAGTGACTTGGATCTTTATCCAAAGAGCAAGTGGAAGCCAGTGGAGGTTTGAAAATATAGGGAATGACTTTCAGAAAGAACTCTTTGACTGCAGTGGTAAGAACAGACTTGACAAGGAGGCCAGAATGGATAGGCATGTAAGCAAGGAGAGTCTAGTGAAGTGGGTTCTGTGGTACCTCAGGGAAAATTCCATGTAGGGATGGGGAATGCTGTTGACCTTCTGGATTAATACCAGGCTTTGACAAAAGACATCTTTCTCTTTTTTAAGACTGAGTAGAAAAATAATTGAGTTTTCCATTATAATCATTGCCTGCCTTTCCACTGAACCAGGATATCCTTAAAACTGACCACCCATCTCTTCCCTAGAGCCAGTAATCAAAGCTGCTGGCTGGAAAGCAGGAGCTGTGGGTCCTCGCCCCTAAATATTTCTGTGCCTTAGAAAGAGTCTAAAAATCTTAGAGCCTGTTCTTTATGATCTTTAAAATGAATGTACCATATAACATGATTAATTTGGTATTATCTTTCATATAGTAGATTTATTCCTACAAAACAGCTGGTGATTTTTTCCTATTTTAACATTTTTAATTGATATAACATTTGTACATATTTATGGGGGATAGTGCAACACATGCACACAATGTGTAATGAGCACATCTAGGTGATTATTAATAGGCCCTTCCAGAGAAGTACGGTTGATAATTTTGTACGCTAAGTTGAACATGGGTTAAATAATTGTAGAGATTCATTTTTGATTATGATAAACATATGAAGTGATATGCCATTATTTAATATTAGTTCAATTGCATTGGAAATGGTTAACAACTCAATTAGATTGACAATTTCTGAGGGTAGGGGAGAAGCCCCTTCTCTGAGGAGTATACCTAAATGTTTAGTAACTGGGTGACTAATAGTCCATGAAAATGTCCATGGTCTCTATCCCCTGCTTCACAAGACCTACTTTACAAGAAACTCAGGATGTCCTGGGATTAGAGGAAAAGAAAACATGTCAGCCGTGGCTGCAGTGATTTCCAAATCTGCTATACTTGCCTTAGTTCCTAGAGTCTGTTTTAAGAGAGCAGAGCCCTGTCCTGTATAATCTATGGGATAAATGCCACAAGATAAATCTCTCTCAGAGTTACAGTGTGTAAATCAATGTCCCAGGCGTCACTCAATTCAACAATGGAATTGACCTACCTAGAGCACTGTCAGTGATTTACGACATTTGCCCACATTCACCAATTTGTAGGATTTTATGTAGTGGTAAAATAGGATCTGAATGATTGTATTATAAATCACTCTAACTGTGTGATATAAAATTATTCTGCTGTTTCCTTTTGCTAACTTAAAAATTAATGCTTGCATCATTAAATTCAACATAACATTAGCAAATGACCTACCGATTATTCCTTAAATCAGAAAAATTTAGATTAAAACATCTTTTACCTTCCTGACCTCTGCCCCATATTTTGTGTTTTCTCCATCTATTTCTGATCCAAAATGTTTAATACATTGCTTTTCTCTCTTGTTCTTTCAGGTCTCCCAGAATCAGTGAAATTCCACTTTACAGGTAAAAACTTTAATCTCAATATTAGAAAATGGAATGTTTCCTTCCCTTATTAATCCTTTGTTTTGTTCCCTTCATCAAGTACTTTTAGCTCATTTCCAAAACATAATTAAAAGTTATATGACTTTTCTTCTAAAATAGGTTTCTTTTAAAATAATAACATGGTTAAGTAGTAATTGCTTAATTTTGTATTCATAGAAAAAATTTATCAAGGATATCAAAAATTAAAGTTAGATAAGCCCTAATTCAATTCATTCTAGTATTTGTGTAAAAGAGGCAATAGTGGGTCAGATCTTAGATTCTGGATCCAGGCAGTCCGAAATTTAGCCTGCTCTGGAAGTTTTCACTTCTCTGGGCCTGAATGCTTCACCCACAAATGGAGGTAACTAACATATAATATATATATATATATATATATATACATACATATATACATATATATATATATATTACATCTATAAATATATATGTCATATATGTAAAACTCCCAGAACAGTGATTGGCATATAATCATCCCTGTGTTACACTCAGCTAATGCACAGCAGTTGTACTTAGTCTTGAATAAAGCACACTCTGAATGCCTTGCTACTGGAGGGAAATGTCTTATGACCCAGAGTGAGAGCTGAGAAATGTGTGTAAAAATCCTCAGCATTCTAGTTTTATTTGCCACTGCAATAGAAGCCGAACATAAATCAGCAAATGCGGAGTCAGACCTGACTCTGTGCTGGGCACACACAGGGACAAGTTTTCTTGTTTGGGTCAGAATGAGGATGGTTGACCATGAAGAGAATCTTTAAATAGCTGTTTAGCTGGGATTGATTGCTCTACTAGAATTCACCATCCATGTGTCCTGTTATATTTCATATAGTGACAAATCTTGGTCAGATAAGATATTACTTCCCTCCATCTCCTAGACCTTCCTTTCCTCTTTGAGAGCTAAAAATCACACTTGAATCAGGTAGTGAATTTGTTGTGTCATTGTTGATATTAACCCAGTATCAGTTCACTTCTAGTGACAGACCTCTAAGTAATTCATATAACCAGTAAGAATATATGACAGGTTTTTTTTTTTTTACCTTTTTCAAAACAACTTATAGTAAATGTCATCTTATTAAACCTTTCTAACAATCTTCTAAGGCTGGTTTATTGTCAGTATTTTCAAGCTGAGGATACAGAAGGTCACCAAGAGTAAATAATCTGCCCAGGTCTCCATCACCAGTAAACAGCAGAACCAGGATCTTAATTCAAGCCCCTGACTCAGAGTATGGTGTGGAGTTATTTAGTGTATGTGTTCATGAAAAACAAGTGTCATAAGAGCACCGCTCAACCTTTCCCTGAGAGCGTGAGTAGATAGAAGGTTAACAATCAACTTCTCTAGGACTTTAAGTTGACTGATTCTTGGCCCTCTTAGGCCATTCAGATGACTTTAATATCTTCCATTCTACCTACATTCCTGTTTGGTTTTGGTTTTATTTTAGTAGAAAAACAGCCATGTCCTTTAGGAAAGTTTTGTGAAGGAGATTTAGAAAGTGGGCAGCAAAATTCCAAGCTCTGACACTAACCCATAGAAGGAAGGAGAACAGCTCCTTTTAATCAGTTAACGAAAAAGAAAGCTGATGTTCCTGACCTGACTGGCTTAGTGACAAGTGAAGACACTCTGCAGAGCAGTTTTGAGCAAGGAATGTATGAGCAAATGGTGCCCGAAGGAGGCATTTAACCCAAAGAGGCAGTTTACTATTTCTCAGAGAAATCAGAAATATTGCTTAAAGAGAGAGGGCTGGACACGTAATTGCTGCAATTTAGATTGTAAGTTGTTTACTTGCAAAACACTGCACACATGTGATTTATTTCTAGTTATGTAATGTATACTGGAAAATAACTTACTTTTGCTTTAGAGGTTCAGACACTCCTTGGTCACACTGAGTGGCTGTGTGATAAGACCAAAGCTTTTTAAATTTTAAGGCCTTTCCTTTCTTCCTCTGTAAAATAAGGCTCCTAAAGTCTCTCTGAGCTGCCTTCCACTTAAAAGTAAGACATGTGAAAGTGATAGCAAGTTAAATAAAATTCTGCTTTTCAATTATTTATTTTTATTTAACAAAGAGGTTTTTAATTTAGATTATAGGGACCTTAGAGAGTCCTAAATCCACTGAAACTTGTGGAAAGATTTATACATTTGTCTACAAACTTTCAAAAACTTTTGTCATCCAGAGACAACAAAGTAGAACATAAACAAAGAAGCAGCAGCACTAATTTTGGCCAGAGCCCTGAAACCTCCATTCTCACGTGGCGATGTCCTCTGTTCTTCTGTAGGGCTGCTTCATGACTTCCCTAGGACATGGGATGTACATTATAAGACTAGCTATGTCTTTTAGGTCTGTCTCAAGGATAAAACAAACCTAAATGCCAAATGGAATTACTATGAGCCATCACTGATCAATGCCTTAGTTTGCTTAAGAAGCGGTCAGATTCTTACTATGTCCATGAGAGAGTGCCAATATCCCTCCAAATCTGGCCTTTAGAGAAGGAGGGTGTTTTGAATTATGAGAAAGCAGAAATAAAAGAGTCAAGGCTCAGGCAAGTCCGCCTTCATTTCCCCTAGGAGATCAATGTTAGTCCAGGCAAATAAAATGTAAGGTCACTATTTTGCTCAGAAAGTGTCTTCTATTTTTATAGCACTGCATAATAACCAGGTAAAAACAAGTAACAGACATTTGGGTATTTTCTGTCCTTTCAAAAATTATTTTCTAATGAAAAAGAGATGTCATTCCTAAAAGTAAGTTCTAAAAATATTTTTCAGGAATTTGAGAGGAGTGAATTGAATCAAAAGACGTTTCCATAAATAAAAGGCTTTACCAGCGTCACATGAGAGACATAGTTTGCGTCACTTTCCACTAACATTTATCGAAATCACCTATTGTGAAAGTCCCTCTTAGAATAACATTGTCCGTGTAGTCCTTTATCCTTTTTCTTATCTGTAGAAAAAGCTTTGTTAGAATAGCTCACAGAATCTTAATTGCTTGCTTACTTGTTCCATCTGTAAGTATCTCTTTGAAGTGTTAAGATTATCTAAAAAAGCTTCCAGCTACATATCTGTGACCAGACTATAATCAATCACTACAATCAACTATAAGTTGATTGATGTTTACATTTGTGTGTGTGCACGTGTGTTTTCCCCTTCTAGTTTCTGATGGAGAACACGTAAGTCCAGAGATGGCCCTCACCATTCACTTACTTCCCACTGAGCAGCAACCACCAGCCTTCCAGGTCACAGCTCCAGTGCTCAAGGTCAGCCCAGGAGGCCGCACTTCTGTAGGTGAGAATTGGGAGCCTGAAAGAATCATGGCTTTGGGAGTGGTACCATATTTCACCTGCTCAGTCTTCTTGATGGTTGCCAAGAAGCAGTGACCTCCTCTTTGGAAGTGGCACATTCTCAAATACATCCTTTCTCTTACCCATTCCTATGCAAATCAGAGCAGCTCAGAGAGAAGGAAATAAACCCATCCAAGGCCAACCTTGGGAGGGAACACATCACAGAATTTATTTCCCAGCCTGCAGGAGTTTGATTTGTTTTCTTCACTAAAATATAAAGTAACAGAGCAGAGAGGAGAATAGAGGGGAAAGGGTTTCAATGAGTGCTTTTGTTTTCTATTTAAAAAGTGAAGAGGAACAGGAGAAATGACAGATCATAATAACCATCAGGAGCTAGGAACAGATAACTGGGCCAGTTACTTTGTTCATGATTTTACTTACTTCTTTGTATTCTTATGCTTAGAAGTTTATTTATTCTTTTAACAAGCACATTTTCCTAGCCAAGAGTGGACATGGTAATTGTTGTTAGGTGTGCTCTATGGATCCTTTTGCAGTTTCTACCTGTGAGTTTTGGTCAAAAATTGTCAGGGCTGGGTGTGGTGGTACACACCTGTAATCTTAGGTATGTGGGATGTGGAGATAGACGATCATGGTTCAAGGTCAGCCCAGGCAAAACAGTGAGCAAGATCCTATCTCAGAAGCAGGTTAGGCATGGGAGTACATGCCTATAATTCTAACTATGTGGGAGGCAGGGGTAGGAAGAGTAGGAAGAACAGAGTCTAAGCCTGGCCCTGGGCAAAAGCAAGACCCTACTGAACAATAAACTAAAAAGGTCTGACTGCACGGTTCAAGTGGCAGAGTGCCTGCCTAGCAAGCACAAAGCCCTGAGTTCAAGCCCCAGTTTAAAAAAAATTGTCATCAACTTATAAGCAAACATATACAATAGTGGATGTCACTTTTACTCTTTTCCTCGCTTTTGTGATGCCCAAAGAAGTCGTTGTTAAACTGGTAGATTCAGGAAAATGAGAAGGAAAGAAACTATGAGAAGCAAAAACAGTTTATGGCATATTTTCTGGAAGATAGCCTGCCCAGCTGTTCAGGGCTGACCTACTGGTCGCACTTCCTCTGTGCATGCCCTCATTAGTATGGAATAAAAAAGGTGTTCTGAATTCAGAACTACCTACTGTTAGTGAGCTCTTGGAAGAACCTACTTGCAATCCGTGAATTGACTGTATTCTCGGCTTTTACTTTTTGTGCTTGGTTGGAATTAAACAGAGCTCTTTGATTACCTATATGCATAACCTGGCCTCCAGCTGGGCCTGTGGCATTAATGTGTACAGAGGATTGAGTTGTGGCTGTACCTATTGTCTCTCACCATGCTTTATTCTCCTTGCTGCAGGCCTGCAGCTGGCAGTAGGAGACACTGAGGCAGCCCTTAAAGATCTCTTCTTCGAGCTCCGGAAGCCTCCACAGCATGGCATGCTGCTTAAAGACACAGCTGAGTCCCAAGGGCCCATGGCTGCAGGTAGCTGTGTACTCTGTACTTGGCCTGCTTGGGGGACTTTCTGCCCTCTATTCCGTTTGATGTGTCTCAGAAAAGAAGGAAAGTATCTTTGTAGGATCAACTATGAGGAGCGACTTCCTTTTGTGTTTGGTCCCTTGGCTAAGAGACTTCTTTCTCTGCCCACATTCACTTTCCATCTGCCCCTCTGTCCCATGCTGGATACTGTGAAGCTGTTTCCTCAAATTGTAGGTGAAATTGGTTGGTTTTTAAAACTTGAGTAGATGCCTGTTAAAAACCACAGGAGGTAACAGCTTCCACTTTCCTTAGCTTTTTCATGGTATTAATTGGTCTGTCTTAGCATGTGAATCTTTACAATATTTTTTGCCCTATGATTCTGACAGTGTTAGCTACATGTATCTTCATCCACTAAAAACAAGGGGACACACTTTTGAAGTATTAGCCAAGCCACACAATGTGGTAATATGATCAGTTTTTTAAAATAGTATTTATTGTGCTTTCTCTTATTAAAAAAAATACATAGTGATTGCTTAAAAAGTACAGAAAAGCACAAAGAACACAATACAATCTAATTTTTAATAGTTAGGCCTTATATTTCAAAGTGAATATTATCTCTTCCAAATCAGTCACTTGGGGATGTCATATCTTATTCCAACAAAATCTTCATTTTCTCAAAACCTTGATATGGTGTCTTTTAGAGATGTAGTAATACATTCTTGTGTACTTCCCTGGTGGGGAAAATCTTTGCCCTTAAAGGTAGATCAAATTTTTAAGAGCAACTATTAGACATTTGGGATTCATAAAGAGAAACTTCTAAAATGCACTAAACGAAAGAAGTGTCATTATAATAGCTTTGTAGCATCCCAGGGAACCTAGTTTAAGGGTGTCGTAGTCATTGTTCTGTTTTTTTTAACATACATTTAACTTGTATTTGTGTGATTCATGTGTAGGAGCTAAAGATGTTTGTAAAAAGTTAGTTTTGTTACCTCTTTAGGCATTGTACCACTAGCACTAGTAACACAGAGTAACACAACGTTGAAAGAAAGGGCATAAAAGATGAGTACAGAGGATAAACAAGTAAATTCTTCATTCTCATTATTTAACACTAATTATTATAGCCAGGAATCTATCAGCAAGTAGAGTTGAAAATAGCATCCAGGAAGATTAATTCCTCAGCTGCGCTCTGTGCATCCATTAATCCCATGGCACATAGAAGTACTTTTCATAAAAAGGGTTCTATGACCAAGCGATATATATTTATATATATAAATGTAATTAATTATAATATTATATATTAAATATAATTTAATATATATTTATATGTTAAAGATTCTAAACAGGCGCTCTACCACCTTGAGCCACTTAGCTCAGGATTCTAAAATTCTAATAAATCCTGCAATTTAAAACATAGAAACTCAGATTGTGTTTGTTTCCATTTTCCCCTAACTTACGTGAGTTCTAGATTACATAGTTTGGGTTTCTAACTTCAAGCATATATATTTTTCTCCTCCTCTTCCTCCTCTTCCCCCTCCCCCGCCTTCTCTCCCCTGTCTCCTCCTCCTTCTTCTTCTCCTACTTTCTCTCTCACCCCACCTACCCAGGGCCTTATGCATGCTAGGCAACTGCTCCACCATTAATCTACATCCCCAGTCCTCAAATGTATTTTTCAATTTTTTTTAAATTTATAGCCCCATCCAAAATGAAGACTCTTATAGACTCATAAAACATAACCTATTTTAAGTTTTTCAACAGTTTTTCAGTACCAAGTTTAGATGCCAGAAGAGCTCAGTCATACAGATCTTTTTTTTCCTAGAGCTTTTTTTTTTCTAGAACTAGAAGCAATGATGGACCTTACAGAGGCAGATTTTAGCTCAATATGATTTAGAAGCTTAAAACAACGAAGTGAATTAGAGGTATCTCTAGAGAAATTAGCTACCTTGTTAAACACTCTCTCACCTTGAGAAGTGTGGAAAGACACACTAACCTGTGCTTTATCAAGTCTGTTGTAAAGAGAATTCTATATTGGGTGGGCATTGAGACTAATTATCTTAAAACTCCCAGAGTTTATGATTCTATATGTACTTTGAAATTCTAAGAATAAAGGTACTATATAAATGAAAAGTGTTATTCCCAGGTGTAATTGGTTTTACAATTTAATTTGTTGTTGGAAGGTGACACTTTCACATATGATGATATTGAGAAAAATGCTGTGCTGTATGTACATGACGGTTCCTTTGCACGGGAAGACAGCATGGAAATCTCAGTCACAGATGGCCTCACCGTGACGACGTCAGAAGTGAGAGTGGAGGTGTCCCTGTCAGAGGACCACGGGCCTCAGTTGGCTGCCAGTTCCTCTCTGAGCATTACTGTTGCTAGTCAAAGCACAGCCATAATCACCAGGTCACACCTTGCTTATGTGGTAAGTTATTCTTGTTCCTCACTGCAGCTTCTGACTGGGCCCACTTGAAAAGTCATGGCATGCTGGGTATTTGAGGCAGCAGGTATAGGACCATATAAAGAACTCCTTTCTCAACTTCCTTATACTTCTACTCTTAGGAGGAGTCATACAGTGTCTCCTGCCTTCTCCCAGTGTCTCAGGAGCAGACAAGTGAATGCGTAAAACCTGGATGAAAACACAATGAGTAAGGGTTGGTGACTGTCAACAGGATACAGTGCCATTGTCAGAATAGCCCAGGTTCCATTGTTTAAGTGCCATCCATAATTTTTCTAGTGGGAGATTTAAGAAAAGAGCATTTAGAAGAATTGACCTGGTCCATGACTAATCGGTAATGAACAGTTGTTTCCTGTCTCCTTTAGAGAAAGCCCACTTTTCACCAGTTTTTGTCTCGTCTATTTTCTAGACAGAATAAGAGCAGCTCTTTGGCAGTTCCTCTCTGCAGATTTCCTAGGCAAATTCACTGACTTGCCATCCATCTCCTACCCCAAGACGAGCAGTATGGTCAGCGGCCAAGAGTTGAATTAAAGACTCTGGGGGTTTCCCCCATGTCTGGCCCTGACTTGATAAGTGATCTGGTAATTAAACTCATCTTCTTTCTTTGAGTCTGGGGCTAAGGATAATGAGGATAATTAATCTTATTTGAAGTTATGTATGTAAATAGATATGTACTTTCTACATAAACATAATAATGAGTAGTAAAGCCTTGAAAGGAAGAATAATTATCAGAATGATGATTATTTTTAGTATTGAATTTTTCCTTTACTAGTCTTAAAATTCCAGTGAATGGCCTGGCCTTTTTTTGTCTCCTTCTTTTTCTAAACACTATATAGTTTTAAGTAACTCTTCCTGGCTAAAGAATCTCACTATAAAATCTAGTCCTGAATGGTAACATATTAGATAAAGCATTAGCCAGGGAACAATTGCTTTTGCACAGGTTTTTCCCTTAAATTGTCTTTTCTTAAATTATAGGAGACTGCATTCCAGTCTTGATTCTTCTTGTGGGTCTCCTATAGTTTCAGAACAGTCTGGGTATTTTTAATTGACAGATTATTTTTTATCATAGGTTATGATATAAAAGACCATAGGTTATGGTCTTTTGAATCCTATGAAACTCATAAATTCATAAAACATGTGAATTCAAATTTAATCAATAGATCATCAAGGCTTGAAAAATGTTTGACGGACCAAAATAACACTCCAGGAACAGTTCTGCTCATTAACTGTGTATTATAAGCTGCATATCAAAATGTGAACTCATTGGCAACTGAACATGTATTTTCAAAAATTGATTGAATGTGAATTTACTCACCAGAGCAGAGAGACTCCAGAAGAACTATTCTAGCATGCTGAGAGTATAGCATTCTTAAAGGCTTAGCTAGTATTATAAAAATATTTTGTGCTTAGTGTTGAGAAGAATTTTGTAATTAGTGTCAATGTCAAAAAAGTTTGGAAAAAAAATTTCCCCAAGTGCTGAAGTTTGTAATAAGCATCCAGGAAGTTGGAAGATCCATCTGAAATGTAGCCATAAATGAGGCAGAGTATAAAGAGATAAGATCAGATGAGTCTGTTCTTAATTAGAGTATCTGTAAATGGAAGACAGTGATATGATGATGGGAGAGACAAAAGGCAAACATGGGATTTTCGTATGATTTGCTTCTTAATAGTTGTTTAATAGACACAGTTTGCTACATGCTGTAAGTAAACACATGGGGAGGATAGTATGGGTTTTGGAGTTGGAGTTGATTGGATTTAATTCAAGCTCTCTGCTTTCTAGCATAGTGACCCTTAGGAAGTTGTTTAAACACCCTAAGCCTCAGTTTCCTCATCTGGAATATGAGGAATACAAAATTAATCTTTAAAAACTCATAGCGTTTCTATGCACCAGACAACAATAAAATAAATCCAAATATACCATTTATAATAGTATTTCATATCATGTATCTCGGAACCAAATATTAAGAAGATGTGTAACTTCTAGAGAAAATTGATGCTGTGAATGACTATATGGAAAAATCCAAAATAATCTGTTGACAAAGTATTAGAAATAAAGGGAGAATTAATGAAGAGGCCGTATATAAGATCAACAAATAGCAATAGTATTGCTATCTATACACAAAAAAATCTGGTAAATGTAACTAAAAAAAAAAAAAAGACACCATTTAAAATAGCATTAAAAGGTCATGCCCCTTGAATGAAACCTAATAAAAACCAAGTGTATACTTTATATGCATGTATGAAAAGAGAAAAATGAAAACCATTAAATATGGTTAAAAAGACATTGTAGGGGACAAGAAAAAACAATAGAGGGAGTGAATTCAGTCAAGGTACATTGTATGCACATATGGAAATATCACAATGAAACCCTTTGTAAAAATTGAGATATGCTGATAAAAAATAAATTTAAAAAACAGGGACACTTAACAGACATTTAAGAAGCACTAAATAATGAAGAGATATGCCATATTCATGGATAGAAACATCTCGTATCAAAAAGATATTAATTCTCCCACAAAATGTTCTTTCAGTTCAATTCAGTTCCAATCAAAAGCCCAATGCATAAGCTGATTCTGAAATGTATAAGAAAGAACAAAGGGTTAAAATTCTGAAAAAGGATCTTAAGTGCACAAGGAGTCTTGCCATACCACATATCACAGTTTACTATAAAGGTACAGTATTTATAACAGTATAGTACAGAACTACATTAAAAAGTCCAGAAACAGACCCCCACAAGGACCCTAATGTAAAACAGACTGTGAGCCAGACCAGTAGAGGCAGGAAAAGCTACTTATAGCACAGAGCTGCACAAAGCAATTATTCACATAGCCATAAAAGGAATCTGTACCGCACCACACACCCTACTTATAGAGTAACTCCAGACAGATGAAGTACTTAAATGTCATAAGTAAACTTTACAATTCTTTGTAGGCTATAGTGAATATTTTTATGATATTTGGAAAGGAAAAAAATTCTTACAATAGAAACAAAAAGTGCTAACTATAGAAGTTTGATAAATTGGACAATGTTAAAATTGTGTATATTCCTCAAAATGTACCATAAAGACAGAAAACATGCTAGTTATAAATTGGAAAAAGATAATTGCAACATGTATAGCCAAAAATGATAAAGAAAAAATGAATAACTCTGGCAAATCAAAAAGAAAAGATAATCCAATAAAAGAATGAGCAAGACACATAAGTAGGAATTCCCCGCAGAGGAAGAGGTGCTCACTTTTACCTGTTATAAGGGAAGTGTACTATGACCACATTCCATGTCATAGGAACTATCGGGGAGGGAGGGGATCCACGGGAGGTGCTTTGCCAGTGGGAAGTATAAACTGAAACAACCATTTTGGGAAAGAATTTGGCATTGTCTTGTGAGGATCAATCATCATTTTCCTTAACCATCCCATGCCCAGATTCCTCCCCAAGAAAGCTTTCACATGTATACTGAAGGATATGTGCGAGAATGTTCACAGCAGTACTATGTGTGGTAGCAAAAACACTGGAACGCCCATCAACAAGATAACAGATGTCTTGTGGTATACTTACTCTGTGGGATATTACAGAGCTTCAAGCAGATGAATTGTAGTGATGCACATCAGTATGGATGCCTTAGCAGTCTGAGTTAGAAAAGGGAAGGAAGAGGAGGGGAGAAGAGAGGAGGTAAAGGGAAGAGAAAGGAAGCCTCATGGGTTATAGTATAGCTCAGTGCTAGAGCACTTGGCCAGCAAGTGTGAGACCTGGGGTTCAGTCCCCAACACCAATAAATAAATAAATAAATAACCCCCCCTTAAAAAAAGCTGCAAAAAGAAACTTAAAAAGAAGAAAAGAAAAGGGGTCAGGCATGGTAGGGCATGCCTGTAATCTAAGCACTCAGGAGGCTGATCTAGAAGGATCATGAATTTGAGGCCAACTCAGGCTGCATAGTGAGGCTGTGTCTCAAAAGAAAAAGAAAAGAAAAAACAAATTCTGTGAGAGTAGAGTTTACTCAGTTTTTATGCTTCTTTCTCTCTCTTTTTTTTTTTTACTTACAGGGGTTTGAACTCAGGGCCTTGCATTTGCTAGGCAGCTTCTCTACCACTAGAGCCACAACCCTGACCCTGTGTTTTTTAAAAAGGAAAAAATAGATTTTATATACTTTATAGTAACATGTCAAACTGTATTAAGCAATTCAAGGAAATGAGAAGTGAGATTTGATATGACAAAAGGTCCAGGGGCAGGATGAAGGAGGAGCACGCGATTAGATATCAGTGTTTAGTCTCCTCATTCAATGGTGGGGTCATGATGACTAAATAAGAAGTAATTATTCATATTTAATATAGCTGTATATTGTATGTTTACATGTTAACGACTAATAAGAAGAAAATAAAATCATGAATTAATCCAAAAGGAATACAAAGCAGGAAAGTTATTTTTAAACTCAGAAGTCACTAGAAAATTGAAGTAGAGTTAAGATATGCCCAACAAGAAATAAGCATTTCTTTGCCAGATTTGCCAATGTGGAATTTAAAGTCTTCATTTTAATTAAGAGCCAGAACACTGTCCTTATAGCTCATTTCCATCTCAGAAGATCATACCTTAAAACTCTCAGCAGTCTTTTAAAATTCTTTCTCAGAGAGAACTCACAGTATATTACTAGAAAGTAGTCCTTAGGAAGCCTATATATTGTATTTAATAACCCATGTGGAAAAAGAGAGAAACTTTAAAAGAGTATAAATTAGAGGAAAATTTCTGAAGTTTTGCAGCTTCGATAAATTTTAGTTCCCTTTCTTGCTAGTGTCAAGTGATGTGAGGGACTTCTGTGATCTTGCAATGAGGCTTAGAGTCACTACCTTTAAAGGACTCCTGGGTGGAAATGAGAGTGGGCTGAGAATGCTATCTGTGGCCCGCCAGGTGGCTGTGCACACAGTCCTGATCCCATCCCTCACCTAACTATACAACAGCATGAAAATTTACATTTGAAAGTAAAATTGACCATGCAACATTTATTTTCATTGTTGCTGTGATAAAATGGAGTGCCCCATTTTTCCTCTAGAAAGCAAATTACTCAGGGAAACGTTCCAAGAAGATGTTGCCTGCCTTCCAGATATTCCAAAAATACTCTTGTAAAAATAGGAAATTGCTCATTAAGATAGTCAGTCACATGGAGGGGGTGAATATAATGAAATACATCATATGTATGTATGTAATGAAACCCCTTGTTATGTGTAATTTAATACAATCCTATCAAAATAATTAGTTAAAAAAGATACTCAGCTATTGTCCAATTTTATTTCTCAATAAACAATACATAAGGAGAGGGAATGTTCTTTGTCAAGATTATGTGTCGTGCAGAGTGAAGATACATAGATTCAGAGATTCAGTCCTAATAGAATGAAATCGACAAGAGTTCTTAGATTACTTTGTTAATACAAAACTTTATCACGTTGAATATTGCTTAAAGTGAATCATTGGCTAATCTAAGTAACTTGCATTCTTTCTGTTTCACAGAATTTTGTCACTGTATAGTATGTAATATGTTCTAATGGAACTTTACTTGTTTCTAAAATACAAACCATTCTTAGGAACTCTAAAAGGAGCCTACATCTGTGTTTATACATCGATGACCACAGCTTGCCATGTTTTGTTCTTCACAACTTATTTCTATTAAAAACAAAACCTTCTGGCCTTTATGGGAAGATAGGGTGTCTCCCCTTTATCCCTCATACCTAACGTATGTTTCCCCTTTTTTAACTTGAGCTATTCTTAGCAGACGTTGTCCCAGTGGCATTTGAGGAAGAATAAATAGCAGGGTTTTCATGGAGTTGGAAATGGTGTTGCTTTATGGAAAAGGGAAAGACTTGCCATTAGCAGAGAAGGAAGCATCTGTAGTCTCTCAGCACTGGAAGTATTTATCCCTCCACATGTGCATTCATGCCCTGACTCATATTTGTCTGGTTAGGATGATTCTTCCCCTGACCCAGAGATCTGGATTCAGCTAAGTTCTCTGCCTGTGTATGGTGCTCTCTTAAGAACTTCGGGATCTGAGGTGGAGGAACTCTCGGTGCTTTCCAATTTCACGATGGAGGACATCAACAACAAAAACATTAGGTACATAACCATTTGGCATTATCTGATGGCATTTTAAAAAGTGCATTAAAATATTTAACTGGTTGTGACTCTTTCAAAGAATATATTTCTTCTTGCCTCATTTGTAAAGTAACAATCATCTTAACCCAGCATGTCAGAGTGGCTCATTCTTTTGATTCTTCTTTTGGTATTTATAGATACTCAGCACTCTTTGAGACAGAGGGTCATCTGGTTACTGATAGCTTCCACTTCTCTGTCTCTGATATGGACCACAACCGTCTGGACAATCAGATATTCACCATCACGATCACTCCTGTCGAGAATCCACCTCTGGTCATTGCTTTTGCTGACCTTATCACGGTAAAAAATCCTCAGATCAATAAACAGGGAGTGCTATAGAGAGCTGGAATCCTTGGTGATGTAAATAAAGGATTTCTGCCTAAATTGGCTGCCAAGTTCTTCCCCAAATTCTATCAAGATAGACGTGGTTTTCAATTGTGTGTTTTTTACAAAGTATGAAAATAATTATATGCAGATCATTATATCCATATTAGTTAGTCAAAAAATATTTATGTGCTGGACACTATGTTGGATATTTTCAGTATCAGTAGCAAAATAGAAGTAGAATATATCTTTGAGGAATTTATAATTTAATGTTAGTAGCAGCACAAACAAGGACAGTTCCCCCAAGTAAATCAAGCTAAGATTTATATACATAAATATATATACATAGTGAGAATGAGAAAACAAAATTGTATTAGTGATTCCATCTGAGTAAGCTGTGAGCTATGGAAGGTGAGAGAGATAAAGAAAATGTTAGAGAATGAAAAATATTGAAACAACCCATTTGTATATGAATCTAATATGATGTACAGTAAGCTGTTGAATATTAGGGAAGCATGGTGATGGTGAATGTATAAGTAGTAGGGGAGTTAATTTGATTAAAGCATTATATATACAAACCTGAAGTACCAAGGTAAATCCCCCTGAACTATCAATATACACGTAATAAAAAAAATGAAGGGCAGGAGAGAAAAATAATCTTTCTTGGGGTGGGAACCAGTGGGAGGGGGTGAACACAAGGAAAGGGGGAAGGAGGGTGTATATCATGGAAGTACTTTGTATCCATATATGGAAATAGAAGAATGAAACCTGTTGAAATTATTCTAAGGGGGGGGGGAGAAGAGGGAGAATGATGGAGGAGGTAAACCCAACTAAGATATATTTTAAATACTTATGTAAATATCACAATGTGTCCCCCTGTTCAACTATTATATGCTAAGAAAATAAAAAAATATTAACAGATCCTTAGAGGAACGTGGACAATACTATGTGTCTTCACCACTAAAGTCACCCAAATATGAGTTCCAGTGTCAGTTCTGTTACTTAATAGCTGAGTAACCTTAGACCAAGTACTTAATATTTCCTAGCCTCAGTTTCCTCTTCATTAAAATATTACCATTCCTACTACATGAAGGATTTCCCTGTTGATTACTAAATTAGCATGGATCACATACCAGTACCTGGTGCCTGAAAGTTAATTTGTTTTCCTCTTTCCACCTTACATACATACCACGATCCCCAACGAGTTTTTCTGGTTTTATCGAGCAGCTAGGAATTGATAAATCTCTGAATTATTTCTAAATGGTTGTGATATTCCTCCATTTTTCCATTTCCACACTTGGGAATGCCACTTGGGCTGTCCCCATTCTTGGAATCCCACTTTGTAATTTATAGGTCAGCTACAGTTAGCCAAGAGTCGTTCAGAGTGAAATGGCTTCACCATTTCCAGCAGGTCAGCAAAAAACAGCAGGCTCAGTTTGCAGAGTTACCATGTAAAACAAGGCCCTAAAGGAAAAGGTTAGTTTGAGCAAATGCTTTAACTTATACTGATTTATTTTCTTTCTCCACATTAAGATAAGCATTAGATTTCAGATATGGTGAGCCCACACACAAGCTAAGGGAATAAATGGGACTCTTTTTCTTGATGGTAATGCCTATAGGACAGTCACCCTCAGGGGATGCGAGGCAGGGCTGGGTCTGTCATTCTCCAGCTGGGACTGATGAATGTTGATGCCATAGGAAGGCAGCCATCCTATCACACAGCTGCACTGGGGTGGGGGATGGGAATGGATCAGACTGCTTTATAACCAGATCCATCATTGAATGAAGTGTAACTTTGAAGGGAGACACGAAGTCATTGTGTCTGTGTCTGAGTGTATCTTTGAGAGGCGTTGAAAGATTGCCTGGCTTTTGCAGTCTGCACATTCCTCATCTCGTCTGTAGAGGATCTGCCTCCTCACAGAAGTGGAATTGGTGCTGGAAGGTCACCCTAGGCAGCACTGTTCAATTCAGCTCTTTTTTTATTGCTGTTATATGCAACCATTCTTTTCTTTCTTAGGTTGATGAGGGAGGGCGAGCCCCACTCTCATTTCACCATTTCTTTGCAACTGATGATCACGACAACCTACAGGGAAATGCCATCATTAAACTAAGTGTTCTGCCCAAATACGGCTGCATTGAGAACACAGGAACAGGTAACAGTAGTAGCTTTGCTGTAGAATTTTTCAGGATCTGGAAAGAAAGGAGGATGGAAGGAGGGCTTGTATTCTAATGAGACCTGAAGATGGAGAATTAAAGAGGAATGAAACCACTTCAAACACTTGGAAGAAATGTTTCACCCACTTAACAGAAATTTACCAATCATTTTCTATGTGCCATGCACTTTTTTAAAGCACCAGGGATGCATCAGCAAACAAAACAGACAAAACCCCTACCTTGATAGTGCTTTAGATCCTAGAAGAAGAAGACAGATTAGGAAAGTGGGAAAGGTGATAGAAGGTAAATAAATGCTATGGAAAAAAATTAGAGCAGGGTAAAGGGATTCAGAATGCCAGCAATAGGGGTGAGGGGCTTATGGATTACATTTAGAATTGAGTGTCAAGGCTATAAAAATTCCTGTCCTCCTATTATGAGGCAGTTTCAGTTCAGCTGAACCATAGCTTGTGTCTCAGCCCCTTCTATGCACATGACATGAATTGAAACGCATACTGTCTATCTGTAACACCTTCTTCAGCATCCCTCCCCCTCCACCATCTTCCCTGGACCCACTGATGGTTACCACAGAGAAGGAGAGTCGAAAAGGCATGTACTGTCCGCAGGCCGCATGAGACCTGCTGTGACTGGCAGCTGAGACAGCTCATGGCAAGTAACTGTGCTGCTGTCTCTGCAGTGAGATTTCTGAGTGCCAGGGTTTGGTCCTAATTAGCATGCAGCAGCTCCCACAGAGAGAATACTGACTGCAGGTGTCTGTGGCCAGCATGGTGCCTGGGATTTGAGCCTGGTGAGTGAAAACTCATTTAGAGTGGTCATGTTTTCCTATCAAGTCTTGGGTCTTTTCCTTATCTTGCCTTTCAGTGCATGCATTCAGATTTGTTTATTGCCAAATCAAGTTTGTTTAACAAATGCTTGTGCTAGGTACAATGGATGTAAAGATGGATAACACAGACCCTACCTTGAGTGGGAGACAGGCAAGAAGATAGATAAATTATAATAAATTACAAATGCCAGGACAGGAAAAGGAGCAAAGCACTGAAAGAGTACATAAAACAAAGCAATAGCTTTTGTTTGGGATGGCAGTAAAGTCTGAGGCCCTGGAACTTACAGGGTTAGAGTGAGTAACTGTGGGCATAAGGAAAATGGCCTTCTTTGCAGAAGTAAGAGCATGGACAAGGTAGGAAATCATGAAAGGCTGTTTACCACCCTCCCCCCACACACACACCCTGCCTTCTCTTCTCTCCATGTGGTTTCCTTCTTATGAAGTCTTTGCAGCAGGGCATTGCATCTACCTGGAACACATGAAGAAGCATAGATACTCCATGTATGGGAGTAGCTCACTGGCACAGAAGTCAAAATTCTGGTGGTTCTCAAACTTTAGTGTGCATAAGACTCACTTGTGAAAACAAAGTCTCCTGGAAAACAGCACCAGGAGGTTGGTGGAGCCTATGAATTTGCCTTTTTTTGCCAGCTCACAGGTGACACTATAGCTGCTGGTCCAAGGACCAGTTAGCAAATTGCTGCTCTATGATAACATGGGTATGGACCTGAAAGTAAGGAAAAGAGGAGCAAAATAACTGTTCCAGGTTACATCAGTTAACAGCCTGCCCTATGATCCATGGAAGAAGTCCTTTTGCCTTTGTTTGTCTTTTGGATGAAACAAGACACCTAGATTCAGAACCCAGCTGATCAGAACATCTTAAAAAAAAAGAAAGAAGTGGCTCTTACTTCTTACCAACAAGAAGGGAAGAAGCAGAATGATTATAGTATAAGCTCTGAAATCTAATGGCATGGAATCTGATTCACTTAGGTCTTGCACAAACATGGCAGGACCCCCCTTGGCAACATCTGAAGGCATCCCTGTGCTCCAGTGCAGGTACTCGTAATGTCAGCTTGCAAGCACCACGAACTACTTAATTTGCACATAGTGCATTCTGTTTAGGAAGACAGAGAAGAGCATTAATTAGAATGATTTATGTCAAAAAATAGAAAGTACACTTCTAAAACTTGGGAAGATTGGTGCCTAAAGTTTCAATGGCATAGTCACTTGTTGATTAGCTCATTCTTCAATGACTTCAAATAAGGCATTATAATTGCTACATGGCCTTTTGATTAAGATCAAGTGTGAAATAGGGCATTATATCTGCATGTATTTTTAGACATTTATTTAGGCTGTTTGTGACCCATAGCAATGCCACATTTTCCTATTCCTAGTGACCAATGGAAGGACAAATAAAAATTCAAATTTTAGCAGTTCCTTCTGGAAACCCTGAACTGCATGTCATAGGGTCAGTGGCCACCCCAACTTCTCTATGCTATGTCAACAAAATTCATGTCATTGAAGGACAAAAAAATTATCTTGAGCTCTTCTTTTAAACAAAAATTTTGAAAAAACTCATCTTTCTGTTAGGATGCCAACAAATTTGGCACTGTGTATAATTCAGAGAGATAATGGCCTTTTTATTTATGAGCTTTTGCAAAGGCTCATGGAGAGGAGAAGATGCTTTCACATCTGCCAGCTATACTTTTCTTTGTTGATATATATCCAAGAAATGGTTGAAGATACAAGGGTTTCTTTTTTCTCCTCTCTAGAAGAAAATTGTGGTGATAATTTAAAATAAGTCAATTAGAAGGACTCCAGTTAGAATCAAGTAAAATATAAGGCATTCATCAATTAGACATCGCTTACTCTTCCCCTTGGCCTTTTGCAGTGTTTGGAGTAGGGATCAGAGGAGTAAGCTGGAGGCAGCACTTTGTCTAGAGCTCTGAATGGCACCTGTGTTAGTCAACTTTCCCTTACTAATAGAGCAGACACCTGAGTGAAAAATGAACTTAATTGGGACACAAGGTTTATTTTGGCTCAAGGCTTCTGAAATTTCAGTCAATGGTCATCCCCCTTGCTTTTGGGTCTGTGTTGAGGCAGCACATCATGGCTGGGAGTGTGTGGTGGGACAAAGCTGCTCACCTAATAATGAAGATGCAATAGAGAGAAAGGAAGGGGCTGAGGTCCAAATATCCCCTTCAAGGGCCCTCCCCCAATAGTGCCATGGCTGGGGACCAAGCCATTGACACCTGGACTTTTGGAGAACACTCACCCAAACTATGGCAGCTCCTGAGCTCTGAATGGGACCTGAGCATCTTAGTGCCTGAATTGTACCTGAGTGTCATGGCGTCTGAGTGGTTCCTGGACATCACAGAATCCCTTGTGTCCTATCCTGTGGTTTGAGTTCTCACTCATGCACAGATTTCACTAAGAAACTGGGAGGTCAAATTAAAACATGCTGGAAGAGAGGTGTCTTAGATAAAAAGCTTTATAGTTAACCTTTTCTTTTGTGGAGAAAGTGTTGCTCTTGCAGGATATAACAGATAGAATGGTTTTGAAACTGGCTAGTTTTCAGTAGAAACTTGGCTATTGTTATTACTCCAAGATTTATGTCATAAACAATTTCTAACTAAACAACCACTGATTCTATGCTGTAGAAAATAAAACACTCTCATTTGATTACCTGTAGAAATAGCAGGGCAGGTATATCCGTTTATAGATGAGAAGTGGTCTTAAGAAACCGAGATCCAACTCTAAATCTTCCAGTTCCTGGTCTTGTGCTTTTCTCTCTCCAAGTTTTCTCCTCAAGCATATTTCCATCTGGTGTTGAAAATAATGGCTTCTTTTCTAGTTCATCCTAGTGAGCAGAAACTGATGAATCAAGGTCAAAGTCCTCTCTCAATGTTTACTCAGGTGATCGCTTTGGCCCTGGAAATACCAGTGAACTAGAAGCCTCATTCCCTATTCAAGATGTCCTGGAAAACTACATTTACTACTTCCAGAGTGTACATGAAAGCATTGAGCCAACCCATGATATTTTTAGTTTTTATGTGAGTGATGGAGCCAGTCGTTCAGAAATTCACAGCATCAATATCACCATTGAGGTAAAGACTTTGGAAGGTGGAAAAATTGATCCTTTGACCACAAAATATCCCACCATTAGAGAGTTTTCTTTATATGGACTCAAAAGCAAAGACTGGATTTGACCTTTAATTTTATAACATAACTCTGACCTTCAGGACACTTGTAGAATTAAAGTTGGCATTTGGGGAAGGTCGGAGTTGGAAATCTGTATTTCCAGATCAGGATAAAATGTATTTGCTCTTTGTGAAAACCGTTTATGAGAATCAATCAGAGAAAACTTGCCATTTAGAAGAAGCCTATTTAGATGAAAACTGGCATATGCCGATTTCTCTGAAATTATCTTATGTGGTTCTACATGTATTCTTGGCTTTTCTTATGTTTTGAATGCATGTATTCATTTAATTGTAGCATCAAAGAAAACATGGTACTTAATCCTGTATTTTCATTTGAGCAATTAGTCTTGCTCTAGAATGAGAGAGAGAGAGAAAATAAATCTCTCAACAGAATACCTTCTGCTCTGGGAAAATAGCATGCATAGAACCTTCAGCAGTCTTAGAGGACAGTGGTGGAGAGGGACTGGGAGGCAACTTTAGAAACCCATGCTTTCCAATATGATGACATTCCACAGATAGTAGGATAGCTCAGGGTTTTCTAAGATGGTTCTGAGTTCAAATGGTGTGCCCTTTGATTCCCAAAATGTCTGTATTTGGGAGTCTGGAAAATACAGTCACTGTACCTATGAATATAGCTGAGAAAATATTTGTAAAATGCCCATCAGCTTCTTTTCAAAAGCACATTTTGTTTGTGTGACTTCTCTTTTGTTTGCCTTTTCAAATTAACTGTTTTGATTAGTAAGTGAAGGTGGTAACACAATAATTGCTGTTTTGATAGTGAAAATTGTGGTAACAATAACACATTCTCTGAATAATGTGCTTTTTCTTCTTAAACCAATGTCTGTGAGAACAAATATTTTATGCTTTAATCAGAGGAAGAACGATGAGCCTCCCAGGATGACTTTGTGGCCCCTTCGAGTGCAGCTGAGATCAGGAGTGGCAATAAGCAATTCTTCTTTGAGCCTACAAGATCTGGACACCCCGGATAATGAGCTGATTTTTGTATTGACAAAAAAGCCTGACCACGGTAGGACACAAGCTGCTGTGGAAACTTCTTAATTGAGGTGCCTGATGGGTTATTAGAACAAGCACATAGATTTCAGGTGGTTATTCCTTTGCCTTTCCTATGTATAGTCTATTCTTTGCATCAAAGTATAATCAAATTCACAGCTAGCTAATATTCTTTGAGATTGCAGTAGATACTGACGTCTAAAAAGCCCGAATCCTAGGTAATTGGTATCTCTGAAATTTCATTTTAGCTGTTTTCTTATATTCTTACGTAACCTCAAGTAAAACAGGTTACTGCATTTTCATAGCCTCTGTTCAGAGTAGGTGTCATTGTTTGATAGTCCCAGGCCACCTCATGCATCTGCGTAGCATAAGCTTGTTCCTCGTACAGCAAGAACATTTTTTTTTTCAGATTTAAACCAGATATAGATCCGTGGGATCTTCTAACCTTTCTTTTCTAAGTACCATCCCCTTGGTATTACCTCAAGCTCTGGAGTCCATGTGGTGTGTCTCAATCAATCATAACACATATTGGACTTTCAGAGGTGAAATTGTTGCTTTTGATGAAGGGTTAATAGAAGAGACTGCTGGTCACTGCATTTTATTTTGCCCTCACTCACTTTCACATTCTTTTTATTGGTATATATTAAATTCTTCATATAAGGCATTTCCATATATGCATATAATGTACTTGAATCATATTCACACTTTCATATTCATTAATGAAGTACTTTAAATGGAATATTACATGGCCCTTGATACAGAAAAATTCACCTCAATACAAACATGCTTAGTGTCTTTCTGAATTTAAAACAAATTCTATCTCTCACTCCATAAGAAAAAAGGTTGTAAGTGAAGAGCACTATTTTGTCTTTGTAGAAGGAAAAATAAGGTCTAGATAATGAAGTGTTTGAATTCATGAAGGGAGATATGATTGCTAAGTCACTATATTGCCCCATCCATCTGTGTCTCCATAAGAGATCTTTAACCAGAAAGAATGGGACTTTCGTCTTCTTCATTTATACATGAGGTCACAGAGAAGCACCTGTACTTACACAAAATGCTAATTTGTTGGTACTTGACATTCTACCCAACCTCATATGAATTGGCAAGATCAGACCAAGTGTGGATGCCATATATATTCTACCATTATTTCCTTGACATTCTTTACTCTTCTTTCCTCAGGTCATTTACTCCGGAGACTTACTGCTTCTGAACCTCTGGAGAATGGGACAGTTTTAGGCCAGGGTTCCTCCTTCACCTACCAGGATATCCTGGCCGGACTGGTGGGGTATGTGCCTGGTGACCCTAGCATAGCAGTGGATGAGTTCCAGTTTTCTCTCACTGATGGCCTTCATGTGGACACAGGAAGGATGGAGATCTACATAGAACTGCCTACAAGTGACATTCCCCATGTGGTTGTGAACCGAGGCCTGCAACTCTCAGCAGGTGTGTTATTCAGAATCTTTGTGGCTGCAAGAAATACCTGAGAAAAATAACTTCAAAGGAGGAAAGAGTTATTTTGGCTCATAGTTTCAGAGGTTTCATTCCGTAGTAGGTTGGCTTTGTGTTTCTGGGTTGTGGTAAGGTAGAAAGCATCATGGTAGAGAGGGTGTGATGGAGTGGAGCTATTCACCTACTGAAGGCAGAAAGCAGAGAGAGACAGCCAGGAAGGGGTCAGAGCAAGATACAGCCCCCAAGGACACACCCCCAGTGACCAACTTCCTCCAGCTAGCCCCACCTCCTAAAGTTTCCAGCACCTCCCAAAATAGCACCACCAACAACACTTGAGCCTGTGGGGACGTTTCATATTCAACCCATCATATCCAGTACAACAGGAGTAGAGGGGAATGGCTGGCTGTCTTCTATCTTTATTTATTCTATGGCAGTGTACAGTACCTCATTTCATGTTTGTGCTGGACATGGTTCTTAAACTACCTATTCAATACTTGAGGAGACTGAAATTTGAAGAACTGTTGTCTTAGGGCCACCAAGAGTTGTGAGTAACAAATGTGAGCCACTGACGACACTCTTTGGACATACAGTGGTCTGTGAATTTGAGGAAAGTTTGTGAAGAGTCAATGGTATTTTCAGGGTCCTCAAAAGTCTTAATTTAGCCAACTACTCCTGGACCCAGGTTTCTTGGAGCAATGCTTTTGCTCAACCAACCCCATGGAAACTAACAATCAAAGAAATCTACCAGAATTTTCCAGGTGCTTAGTTTAAAAAAAAAATGGAGGGGTATTGGGAGGCTATCATACATTAAAAGATTATGCAAATAATTTAGAATTAATTCATATGGGACTCTAGCATCTAACTTACACAATTTTGCCATGTTTTAGCAACATTGAAGGAACTATGACAAGTGCTAGTCTTGGACTCACTTTGCAATGGGGAGTTGCTTACTCAGGGGGTAGGCCTTTTGCCCAGGATGTCTACCTTTCACTAGGATTCTTACGTTTATCTAGTCTTAGTTTTACATGTATTTTGTATTAAAAAAAATCATGGTAGAATAGTATTTGAGAATTCCCAAAGGTTCTATGTATCAGAGAAATTGACTTTACCTTGCTTACAAGCTAATAAGCTAGCCTGGTACTGTTTCGTGGATTGTGCTAGAAGACACAGTGATTCATCCACCAGAGTCAAAGTACTTCATAACTTAGCTCACAGCACAGCAAGAAGCATGGCATCAGGAAGTTTGCATCGGTTTCCAATGGGGGCCCTGTAGAGGGACCACATGGATGCCTTCCCAGGCAATGGATGTGTGACAGAAGAGGAACATTGATCGTGGAGAACCTTCCATATTATAGCAAGCACCAAGCAAGTCTGATCTTTGTCCCAAAGGAAGACATTACCTCATCCCTCAAGTTGAATTGCCTGGATAAAGAACTGTCAGGGCCATGTACAATAGACTCTTGGTATCTGCAGGTATCTGGTTTCAAGTAGACTGCCACTAAAGAAGAACCATACAAGATCAAGAAGCATAGAGTTCAGTGCTATACTGTGAATGTGTTTTTCCCATAACCTGGCCCAATTTCTGTTAAAGACTTGCTGCCTTTCAAGAGATCTCAAATTTTTGCTTCATCACTTAAATGAAGCACATTAACTTTTATTTAACTTTTATCTTGCTTTTGAGGCACCACTTGCTTTTTGGGAAGCAGATTTTCACAAAATTAAGGACAAACTACCACTCAGCAGATCACACAACAACTTAAACACAACAGAAGATAATGTGTGGCTAAGAGCTTCTCCATACCAACTTCTGTGTAATGAATGCATGAGAATTTAAATGTTTTGCTTATTCTTGACTGTACTTGGTTGAAATCCTATTATGTAATATATCTGTGAGTAAGGCAGGCTTACTGTATTCTTGACACTGCTCAAAAAGAACATGCAGGAACACCAGGATGCATAACACATGAATGATGAGGATCTGGTTTACTGCAGTTTACTATTTGAAATGTGAGAAAATGGCTGGTGGGAAAGAGGAGAGTGCTTCTGGTGGTGGGTGCTTTGCCTCTGTCCCTAGCACCTGTGAGCAGCTGTCCTCTGTCTTGAGAAACACTGATTTTAACTGTTTGATCCGAGATGGCAGTGAGGTATGTTTATGAGTTTATGTAAAGCTGGTTTTTCTGATTTGGTGATCCTCAAGACAGCAAATAAACTAAATCAAAGCAAATTTCTCAAATCATAGATCTAGGAGTTATTTGCATCATAGTACTAGGAGTTATTCCCAGGCCCTGATAGGCCCCTGGGTGGAATGAGCATTAAGAGGAGAATAAAAATGGCTAAGAAGAGAAAAGGAACTCAGATGTAGAGAAACTAAAATGTATCCAGCTGGAAACTGAGAAAAACTAGTGCCTAGTACTTAGGCCCAAGTAATGTGTGATCATTTATTTTCTGGTCTCCTAAAGTCATTTACCATCCAGTTTGAAGGAAACAGTGGGGAGTGACATTCTCTCTCCCATTCTTCTCCAGGGTCTGTTTCACGCATCACAGAACAGCACTTGAAAGTGACAGACACTAACTCCAATGACCATCAGGTTGTGTACATCATGACGGAAGATCCTGGCATAGGGCGCCTGCAGATGGTGAAACATGACAACCTGGAGCAAATCTCTGTTAAAGGCCCCATCCGAACTTTCACCCAGGCAGACATTAGCCAAGGTCAGCCAGTTCTCTCTGCCTGCCCAGGCTTTTGTGGGATTCTTTCTGCAGTAGTACAGTGGGAGATAAATGCCTAGTAGTTTATGGCAGGAAACTGTGTAGTCTTTGTTTTGAATAAGAGCTGAGTTATATCTTCATATTTTTTCTCCTTGTCTCACTTTTCTTCTTGTTAAAAAAAGTAAAAACTTTCTTGGCAAAATGTATGCATGTCTTGACATAGCATTGATGAAATTTGAGGTAATTATGGAGGGAAAAAGTCATTTTGACTTGCTACAATGCTAAAAAGTGTGTGTGAGAGAGTTAAAGTTAAAAGAAGTGAATTGGCATGGATTAAGGTAAAAATTATGTCTTCCTTAGGTGAGAATTTATATCTCTTTCCAGTTCCCCAAAGAGCACAAGTTAATGAAGTAAGCAAAATGGAAGGGCATAAGTTGGAACTGCCTGGGGAAAATTACCTGGCTCATCCTTCCTTCCGGAAATGCTGATGTAAAGTGAAAGCATAAATGTTAAGTGCTATGTAGTTACTGTACAGTGCTTTCAGGGATAGAAAAGAAAAAAAAGTTACATATTGGGGGAAAAAAGAGTCCAATGTCATGTGATGATGTGCAATTCCTTTAAGAAGTAGAAATATACCCTGAGGAGCATCGAACAGATCCAGTCCATGTGCTAACACCTAAAATTGGCAGCTCTGAATTCTGATTGGCTCTGTGTATGTGTCCATCAAGTGGGTGGAACAGACAGAGAAAATGGTAGTTTTTTAATTATCCCATGCTTCAGTGGCTCCTTGTAGGAAATGAGGCCAGGCAGCTCTTCCCAAAGGTTTGGTCTCGTTTCCATTGATAGGTAGATGTAAATGATTCTGTGGGTTAACACCAGTGTCATGGGTTGTGCCTCTTCCTTTGGGTCCTTTTGACTTCTGGTGGAGTTTACTTGCTTTCCTGATGCTCCTTGAATTGGGCAATGAGTGAAGATTTGCAAGAGAATGTGGGCCGCAGCTCTGCATCCTCTTGCCTTGTGATAGGGCTACATCGCAGGGCCACTCCCCGTGATGTGGGTGTGGTTGGTGCACATTTTACACATGGGTGATTTCACGGACCTAGTTATTCATGAACTCACCCTAGAAGCTGAGCTAGAGCCTTCAAAAAGACAGCCTCAAACATAAGAAATGTCTCTTGGAGTCAATTTGTTATGAGGAGGTCTTTGAGAATGAGAAGTTAATGGTGGGGGAGGACTGGGAGGAAATGAAAAGTTTAGATTAAAATGTCAAAAGGGATATCAAGGTGAGGAAGGTATAAATTATTTCATTGGTGTGAATACCAATTGAAGTCCTGACTCTTCAGAAGTGAGGGCAGAAAGCACTAACAGCAAATCTTGATGTCTTTTATTTTTTCCCCTTTTTATAGGGCAGGTAGAATATAGTCATCAAACAGGAGAACCTGGCGGAAGCTTTGCTTTCAAATTTGATGTGGTTGATGGAGAAGGCCACCGATTGGTTGACCAGTCATTTTCCATCAGTGTTTTAGGTAAGAGGGCATCAAGTTTTCTGATATAAAAACTTTTTAGCAGCTGGGTGCTAGTGGTGCACACCTTTAATCCTAGCTACTTGAGAGGCTGAGGTCTGGAGAATTATAGTTTGAAGCCAACCTGGGCAAAAAGTCTGTGAGACCCCCATCTCAATGGAAAAAAAGCGGTACCATGTGTCTGCCATCCCGGTGATGGTGTAAAGCGCAAATAGGAAGATCATGGTCCAGGCGACAGGGCAAAAGTGAGATCCTTGTTTCCAAAAATAACCAGAGCAGCAAGGGCTGGAGGCGTGGCCCAGGCAGTAAAGCACTGCCTAGCAAGTGTGAAGCCCTAAGTTCAAATCCCAACGCCAACAAAAACAAAAAGCAAAACAAAACTACTTTATGAATTATGAAATTATGCTTTTTCCAATTAAGTAGTTGCCTTGATGCTTAAGCCCTCCCTTAAAAAATTGAAAATCATACCTCTCTGTTGCACAGCCCTGACCCTGTGTTGGGATCTCTGAGGGACAGGCTTGAAGATTGCTCTGATCTGACCTCTGGGCATGAGGCCTAGAATTAACGAAAGAAGACTGAAAAGATTCCATTTCAAATAACTATTTCTTATATTTTCAGAAGACAAATCCCCACCGGTCATTATTACCAATAAAGGGCTGATCTTGGATGAAAACTCAGTGAAGAAAATCACCACGATGCAGCTTTCAGCCACTGACCAGGATAGCCAGCCTACAGAACTGATCTACAGGATCACCACGCAGCCCCAGCTGGGCCACCTGGAGCATGCAGCATCACCAGGTATCTGTCCTGTCCTGCTTTATCCACCCCAAAACTGGGACTCAGAAAGTGCCAGGGACAGTTACATCACGTGGACCGGTACTCCTAGAGTTTACCTTAGTTGGTATTTATTTTCTGCTTCACTTATTTTGACAACTGTGTACTGTATATTATACTTAGCATACAGTGGAGATTCAATAATCACTTCATGAAATTGAATAAAATATTATGGTTGGGTTTGGGGTATAGCTCAGTGGTGGGCACGTGCTTGACATTAACAGAGCCCTGAGTTTGATCCCCAGTACCACAAAAAAATAATTATCATTTTATGTATGCAATCTAACCTCCATAACTAGATAGTCAATTCCTTTAGCGCAAACACTGCACTCTGTTCTTCTGCACCCCCCATGGGCTCATGTCACAGGATGATGCTTGGTGGTTAAAAATTCAGTTTGAGGTTAGGGGTGTAGCTCACTGGTACAGTGCATGCTTAGCCCTGTACTTGGACCTCCACCACCAAAAAAATTACATTCAACAAACAGTAAGAATGCATACAAGCAAGGTTCTAGTTTAGCTGCTGCCCAGGAAACAAAGATGAATAAGATACAATCCAGCCCTCCAGTGTTCTCTGTCAGATATGATACCAACCTCTACAGATAACTATAACTCAGGAAGACTCTGGCAGTATTTAAACATGGCATCATGGGAGTTCAAAAATAGAAGAGTCTACATTGAGTAAATATGCCCGTGGGAGATAAGAGTTTGGACAGACAGGATTTGGATTATTTTCAGAGATGGAAAAAGCATGGAATACCTAGGAGTAAATTTAACAAAGGATGTGAATGACCTCCACAAGGAGAACTACAAACCCCTGAAGAAAGAGACTGAGGAAGACTACAGAAGGTGGAGAGATCTCCCATGCTCATAGATCAGTAGAATCAACATAGTAAAAATGGCTATACTACCAAAAGCAATCTACATGTTTAATGCAATTCCCATCAAAATCCCAATGACATTCATCACAGAGATTGAAAAATCTACCCTAAAGTTCATTTGGAAACACAAGAGACCATGAATAGCCAAGGCAATACTCAGCAAAAAGAGCAATGCTGGAGGCATCACAATACCCGACTTCAAACTATATTACAAAGCAATAGCAATAAAAACAGCATGGTACTGGCACAAAAACAGACATGAAGACCAGTGGAACAGAATAGAGGACCCAGATATGAATCCACACAACTATACCCACCTTATTTTTGACAAAGGTGCCAAAAATATACGATGGAGAAAAGACGGCCTCTTCAACAAATATTGCTGGGAAAAGTGGTTATCCATCTGCAAGAAACTGAAACTACATCCATGTTTATCACCCTGTACTAGTATCAACTCAAAGTGGCTCAAGGACCCTAATATCAGACCTAAAACTTTGAAGTTAGTACAGGAAGGGGCAGGAAACACTCTGGAAGTAATAGGTATAGGCAAGGACTTCTTCAATAGAACCCCAGCAGCCCAGCAACTAAGAGAAAGAGTGAGCAAATGGGACTTCATAAAATTAAAAAGCTTGTGCACAACAAAAGAATGGTCTCTAAACTGAAGAGACCACCCACAGAGTGGTAGAAAATATTTGCCAGCTACACATCAGACAAAGGACTGATAGCTAGAATATACAGGGAACTTAAGAAACTAAACTCTCCCAAAATCAATGAACCAATAAAGAAATGGGCAAGTGAACTAAACAGAACTTTCTCAAAAGAAGAAATTCAAATGGCCAAAAACCACATGAAAAAATGCTCACCATCTCTAGCCATAAAGGAAATGCAAATTAAAACCACACTAAGATTCCACCTCACCCCTGTTAGAATAGCCATCATTAGCAACACCACTAACAACAGGTGTTGGCGATGATGTGGGGAAAAAGGAACCCTTGTACACTGCTGGTGGGAATGCAAGCTAGTGCAACCACTCTGGAAAAAAATTTGGAGGCTTCTTAAAAATCTAAACATAGATCTGTCAGATGATCCAGCAATCCCACTCCTGGGGATATACCCAAAGGAATGCGACTCAGGTTATTCCAGCACACCCATGTTTATTGCACACTATTCACAATAGCCAAGTTATGGAAACAACCAAGATGCCCCACTACTCACGAATGGATCAAGAAAATGTAGTATTTATACACAATGGAGTTTTATTCAGCCACGAAGAAGAATGAAATCTTATCATTTGCAAGTAAATGGATGGAACTGGAGAACATCATTCTGAGCGAAGTTAGCCAGGCTCAGAAGACCAAAAATCGTATGTTCTCCCTCATATGCGGTCTTTAGATCTAGGGCAAATGCAGCAATGTGGTTGGACTTGGATAACATGACAAGGGGAGAGCACATACGGGAAATATAAGAATAGGTAGAAAACCCAAAACATGAAAGTGTTTGATGTCCCCACTCCAGAGGAACTAATACAGAAACCTTAAAGGGACAGAGGTTAACATGGGAAGGGGATCAGGAACCAGTGTAAAGATCAGTTAGAGATGAATCAACCTTGATTGTAACACATTTGTACACGAAAGCAATGCTAGGAATCTCTGTATAGCTATCCTTAACTCAACTAGCAAAAACGCTTTGTCTTTCTTATTATGCTTATGTCTTCTCTTCAACAAAATTGGAGATAAGGGCAGAACAGGTTCTGCCTGGAAGTGGGGGGCGGAGCGTGGGGAGAAATGACCCAAACAATGTATGCACATGTGAATAAATGAATTTAAAGAAAAAAGAGTACCCCCCCCCAAAAAAAAGAAAAAGCATGGAGGCACATTCTAAAAACAATGAGTGGACCAGATGAGGTAAAGTGTACATTCTGAACAGCACAGGAGGCAGGACTCATGGGTAGATTGAGCTTTTGTGAAAGGTCATCAAAGCTGGAATAAGTCATCTCTATTTAATTCAATAAACAATAGGGAGTCACTGCAGAAGTTTGAACAGAGAAGTGAAGTTCATCAGCCAGTGTTCAACAGGATGAAGTGGAAGAAAGAAAAAGGAGGCCATGACGATGGTTAGTTTCTACTTAGCCAGGGACAAGGTAGTGAGGCTGCACCTGACAGGACTGTAGTGAGAACAGTAAGGTGAGAATAATGAGAGATAATACCTGCTAAGTATTCAGTAAGTAAATATTCAGTCCACATTTGTTGGTTTAAGGAAGGAGAAAAGAAAGGAAGGAATTTCAGGGGAGAGCCTGTAGACTTTAGCAGCTGAATAGGAGGGGCAAGAGATGCTCCCTGAAAAAACAATTTAAGGTAGAGTTATCTTTATTTCTTAGAACACAGAGGCAGTGACAGCTTGCTGGAGATCTAGATCTTCATTGGTTTTCTTCAGATTTTAAGTTACAGATTCTTCATTCAGTCAGGGAAGTAGCAAATCAGGGGATGTCCTTGTCTTTACAGTACTCACGTTCCCATGCAGGGAATCAGACAATAAACAGACAAGCAAACAAATCTGTGTCGGGTGGTGATGGGCACTGGGGGCAGCATAAGGGTATTCCCCAGTGCCCAGGGAGGACAGGGGAGGGTGAAGTCCTCCCTAACATTTAGATGACATTTGAGTAGAGATGTGAAGAAGGGGAGGGAACAGCTACACTGGTGAAGAAGGAAAGAACATTCCAGACAGCAGAGTCAGCAAGTGTCCACATCCTGAGGCGAATCAGCAAGGCAATCATGGTCAAGATAAAGCAAGAGGCCAGTGTGGCTGTTGCTGGTGAATGAGGGAGAGTGTAGTGAGACATGAGCTTAGGAAAGTGGAGTATGATCCAGGAGGAAGTGAGGGTGACGGTGGGACAGGGGTTTACTTACATGGCAAGAAGGCCAGGAGAGAGATGGACAGATTGGCTAAGATCCCCAATGTAAATTAAAGCAGGTCTCTTTCTCTTTTGTCTCAAAATTCCTTGGGGAAATATGCAGATCAGCACCCCTAAGACCTTGGCTGCATGAGATATTTGATAACTAATTCATGAGCTAATTGCTTCTGCCAGAATGCTGTCAGGTTGCTGATTGTATCTCTCCAAAGATGAAAGGGCAGACTCTTGGCTGTTGTGTTAGGCACCGCAAGCGCCCTGCACAGAGCTTTCAAAAGCCCTGACCTTCATACAGGGCACTGCCAGTTGCCCACCTGCTGGTCAGACACAGCCCTTGTTCTCTTCTGCCCCCAGAGATTAAGAGCCTGTGAGGGACTCCAAATTTGCCTTTTCTTTTTCACAACTCTCAGACTTCATTGCACTTAAAATATGGCTGCCAAGACCAAACCAACTCTGCTTAGGAAGAGACCGCTAGATCACACGCTTCCCTTTTCTGGGACAGACCCTCCAAAGATGGAAGGATGCTCTGTTTCTCTGCACTTGCCCAACAGGCTTAGCTTCCTGATCCATGTTGTTCCCTAACCCCACCAGCTTTTCTTTTCTTTTTTTGGTAAGACTGGAGTTTGAACTCAGGGCTTTGTGCTTGTAAAGCAGGCACTCTACAGTCTGAGTCACACCTCCAGTCCATTTTTCTCTGGGTTTTTTTTTTCGAGATGGGGTCTCACAAACTGTTTTCCTGGGCTGGCCTCAAATTACCATCCTCCTGATCTTTTCATCCCAAATAACTAGGATTATAGGGGAGAGCCACCAGCGCCCAGCTCATGCCAGTCCTTCTTAATCCCACTCTTTTTCTAAGTAGAGTAGATCTGAGAATCCAGCCCTCTCCTCTTTATGCTTGGGGTCTCCTCCCCATTGCCAAAAGGCCAGGTCTTCCCTGCAGCTCCCTCACTCCAAATCCACACTGAGCCCTCTCTGTTCCATCTAGCCCAAATCCTCTCTTTCTCTGTCTCTACAAGTAAGAGCATTTTCATAAATTTGATTCCTTCTACATACTAATGATCTCCATTCCCAGGGAGCAAATGTGGACTGCTTGTCTTCCTCTCTGAAGGTAGCTAGCTGCTGCTTGGGGAAAAGTGTTTGCCCCACTCGGTGAGAGTGGGTCTATCAGGAGTTGAAGG